TCGCAACGTACAATATTCAAATCGCGTGAATAAGAATCGCAACACGCAAATATGAAAAGCTATGTTTGATATTAAAATCGTGTGAATAAGAATCGAGATATTAGCAGATTCCAGGCTTAGGACCTCCAAAAGGCTTGTCAGAAGCAGCGTCGTTTGAACTACAAAAATCGGATCTATCTGGAGGGTGGGTAAAAAATTCGGAAAATCTTATCTGCTGCGAGTAAAAGGGGAGAAAATAGCTAAAATAAGTAAAAATGAGAAAGGATTGGTAGCTATGTAGTTTGAATTTTCTGTTTCTTTTTGAAAATCGGTGAATTTTCTGAAAAAGCGGAATACTTATACAAAAAAGTGAAATTTTCAGAAAAATCTGAATTTTTGATGAAAAAAAACTGAAATTCAAGAGATAAAAGTGGAAAAAGCGGAAATCCGCTAAAAAGCGGAAAAATCTCATCCTTGTGAAGATTAATTTTCGATCATTCTTCCTTTATATCTAATTATTTTTTTCACTGAAAAATGTCAAAATTTGTCCTTTTAAAATACTAATTCGAAAACTTATTTTTGGCAGAAAATTGAACCAAACCATTTGAAACAACCAAAATCATTAGATTCTCTTTGATTGAATAACTTTTAATTTTCTAAAAAAACTGCAATATCGCTCCTTATAAAAACGAAAAATTCTATTGCGAATCATTTTCTTATTCTTTCTGTAAATAAATCAATTTAACTTTTCACACTTTTTAATTTCAAATCTGTACAATTTATATTTTAAATGTCTACCTATCAATGAAGAAATTCAGTTTTTATTTTTTCTTTGTATGCAATGCTCTCATATTTGGAACCTTTGACCACTCGATAGAAGAAACCGCATCTAAGCTAACATGCTTTCTAGAAAAGTAAATATTTCAACAGCATAGGATTAACAAGAAAACATGCTTTAGAGTGTTAAATCCAGTGCAATCTCTGAACCTATAAAAATGATTTATATGATTAGATTTTCATATTAACGCTATAAACTATGTGATTATAAGACTTCCGAATTTGAAAAAATAATTTTTAAGCAGTTATTTTTTTATCATCTTACTATGATATTGAGATAAACATTTGGTATTTATTTCTTTTGATAATGGAACAAAATTCAGTGTAAAAGAAGTACTCTAGATAATAAAACAGACAACCAAAAACTTAATAGTAGAGTAAAAGACCAAATCTTTATCATGACAGAATAATAAGAATAAAAAAAAGCATTAACTGCTTAAAAAGTATTTTTTTTACTAAGTTACAAAACCTTAGAATAAAGCAGTTTATAATGTGAATATGAAAATCTACCCATCTATAGTTATTTTTACAGCATTATACTTTCCTTTAAAGTCATATTTTGAGAATTATTTAATTTATTAAGCAGTGAATCAAAGTAACACAAAATACTGATACAAATACAAAATACTGTTAATATATAATCAAACATAAATGAAAACAGAACATTTCTCAAAAGAAAAATACCTAAACTTGTTCAACATTAAAATGATCAATCACAGTACCTGTTTTGAGTTATGTTCTTGTAAATGCTTTGCTCGGGTTCGTTTATGCGGGTGACCATAGAGACAATATATGCATTGCTCCAAGCCGGTTTCTAGATCTTCACGGTAAAGGTAGGAATTACCTTTAAAATCCTGCAAATCTGCCATCATCACATCAATACAATGTAAAAGAAGCAATCCATCTGCAGCAGTGCACCATGAGCGTCTTCAAGCAGAAAAAAAAAAAAACAATTTCAATTAAAACTAATATTAAAAATAACTCAAAATTCAATTTATTTTATTTAGTTTAATTTATCAATTAATTGAGGGTTAATGTTTTTTTAAAAATTAAAATAGTATAATTAAGTTAACACAAAAAGAAAAATAATAAAACCTTCATCCACAAAACCTTTGAATAACATTTAAAAGGAGAAGCAAAAAAATTTTTATCTATTAAATTTTATAGAGATCCAATTGCATTTCTGATTATTATACTTCATAAATATAGAGTATTATACCCTCATTTATTATTCTTCAATACATTTTTCTGTAAGATATTTTGCGGATTTATTTGACAAAATAAATGTCTCTTAAAAATCAGTGCACATTTTAATGAAGCATTATTAGTTTTTAATAAAACTAATCAAAAAAATTAACTATTAACTACATAGCTTTTAGCTGTTAAGAGACTTTGACAAAATTATACTAAAATTTCCTTGCCAAATAAAATAATCAGATTCTACTCTAAATTGAATTTGGGTTAACAGATAAAGAGTTAAACGAATGAAATAACTTTTTATAGGCAGTTTTTAATAACAAAAGAAAATATTAGATTGATTTAATGTTCATATTGCAAGTCTAAGTAACAGAAATATAAATAATGTACCAGCAGATAATAGATGAATTGCATTTCTTTAAGTTAAAATTATAAGTTTAAAAATTTTTAATTATAGACTATTTAAAAATAAAATAAGAACAAATAAATCTTTCATGATAGTAACAGTAAGCTTTCATAACTCACATAAATGTAAGAACAGGTCGTATCCTTCTTCAGTAACACAACAACCCAGGATGGGTCCTTGCCTTCTTCAGAATTCGATACCATATAACCTTTTCTTTAGCCAAAAACATTATAAAAAAAAACATCCAGTTATTTTTAATGTTTTCGGAATACCTAAGTTTGTGCTGCCCTCCCTTTTGAGTGACAGTAGAAATTAATTTTAATTTTTGTGCTTTAGGTCATCCTTTAACAATTAACAGCAGGAGTCTAAATCTTTTGATGAGCAATAATAAAACTTCATCCTCTCAATGACAATTTCACACAATATTATTTATCATTATAATTAACTCTTCAATTTATTATTGACACATTTTTTAAGCATTGCGAAATAATATTGCTTTAAAAATGTTGTTATAAAAGTTTCAGAATCTCTCTTGCGAAATTTTAAGTTATGATATTTATTTTATTAAAAAAAAAAAAAACTATAAGAAATACGAGCAAATGAAATGATACCTTCCAAGATATTCATGAGCTGTAAAGAGTAGCATAAGTGATGATGGCATTTTTGAACTGAGGTCAAAGTCGGTTAGAAAACTTCCAACACAAGCTTTAGAATTTCCACTCTCAGATACTTTCTCCTTTGAGCCAGGTTTTTTCACTTTTCTTTTTTCTTCACTGAAATTAAATAACTTTAAATTAACAATGGCTAGGATTGCAAGTTTGTCACAGGTGAAAAGGATCAAAATTCAAGAAAGATTTATTCAAGGAAATTTTAAAATTTTACAACTTTTAATGAGACTTGGTACCTTTAATACATAATCCAAGGGATAGAAAGACTACCTTGCTTGATAGATTTTGGATTACTTTCAAACAATTTTCTTAAAGTTTGCTATTGATCCTAAACGTTTCACCAATTATACTTCAATAGTTTTAAAGCTCCAGAAAAGTATTAATTGCTTTTTAAATGTAAGTAAAAACCCCCCAAAAAATATAATAATAATAATCAAATAAATCTCACATTCACAATATCACAACAAGCTTTGTGCAAATCGTAGTATTTTAAGAAATTTGCGGAATTCAGAACAAATATCAATATTTTGTAAAAATATGAGTCGCAACAAACTTATAACCCTAACAATGACTAATGAAAAGTTAAAGATGGGTGTAGTTAAAGCAAAATTTAAAATACGTTAAAAAGTAAGAAGTTTCAAAATCTTATATGCATAATCTTATATACAGTATAGATACAGTAAAAAAAAAAGTCAAAATCTTATATACAGTAAGTTTTAAATTATTAAATTATATTTTAGAGACACCACTTCAATAAATTCACTGGATTAATGTTGGAGTAAAGGTAGAACTAGATCAGTAACTTAACAGTCACATGTAAGGTTATCTCATGATATTAACCCACTGACGGTTCTGCACATAAAAAGTCGCATTTTAACCTGCAGTCTTCTCTGCATAGCAAAACCGGTTTTCCCATGTTAACTGATAGGGGAACAGTGTGTAGGGGAGAAACATTCTCCCAATTTTGCCCATTTCCTTAACCGCCAGTGGGTTAAAATGGGCTGTCACCAAAACAATGTTCTTTCTGTTAGGTTAGTAACACATTGGATGTAAACACAATGGTGAAAGCTTAAAATATCAATTAAGTCAAATTCCTAAACATGATTTATCCTATTTTTCGCTACAAAGGCAACTAGAACACATTTCTTTATATCAAAATTCAATATGTAAACGGTTAATTTTTTTAATATTAGTATCCCCCTGGATCTAGATGTTTTGGGTGATAAAATTTAGGCAAAGAGAAAGTCTACATACATATAGTTACAATCAAGATTACAGAAATAAATAAGTTAAGAAATAGATTATAAGTTAAGCATTATAAATGCCATGTTGAGTCAAATATTTCAGTTGCTCATAATAATTTGCTAAGTATTACAGAAGTCATTTTTATAAATTAAACTTAGAAGATTTCAATAACTAATTTTAAGACTTCTCAGAGGTGCCATTACTTTTAACACAATATAGAGCTTTCATTAAAAAAAAGAAAGTGTGGTTTCTTTATTAAAACAGTAATGTTAAGTATCAAGTTTAAGCACATCAATTAAAAGAAAAAAATTACGAGATCAGATTTGAAAGTATCTCTAAAATGAAACATGAAAAAACAATTTTCTTCCTAACAAATTAGAGTTTTAGTAGGAATCAAAATCGGGTAGCTTGATTATTTTTGAAAAATATGTTGACACAGGTACTTTTATCCACGTTCACAAAATGACGAGAATAAAAAAATGATTTACAAAGTTGAGTTTTTGTAGTATTATGTAGAAAAATGAGCTCAGAAAAATGCACATATTTAAATCAGATTTCAATTTTTTAAAAGAGTTATAGCTACCAAGGAATAACACAAACAATTTAAAAAAATAGTATCAATCATACAACTTACTTCAATATCAAGCGATACAGAATAATCCAAGGAAGCACAACAAGCGATGATGCATTGTCAGCAGAGAAATCATAATTTTCCATTTGTATCACTATCACAAGAATTAAATTCTGGGTCAAACGAACCAGCTTGGATTCATCAAGGTCACCAAGGTAATCAGAATTTATTTTAGCACAACTATAAAAAATATGTTTGAAACATTTAGCCACATCACTACTTATTCCCCAAAGATCACTTTAGTTTTGTAAATGAATTCTAATAGAAACAAAGAACTATACAGCCTGTTGGTGAAAATTTAGAATTTCCTTTATACATTTTTAGGGTTTGTTTATACATTTTTTCATGTAGTAGATTTATATCAGCAAGAATATAGGAATAGAAAATTTGATAAGAATGTACATGAATTCAATAAATTAAACATTAGAAATATAATATGTTTTAACCAATAACGAATTAAAACAGCCAGCAAGCCACATTAATGATTAAATGAGAAAAAAATTTTAATAATTACTTATCAAGTTTTTGAAGTAATTGAGCCATTGTTTCTGACCAATCACATCTCGCTGCATTCATAAATTGCTGCAAAGCTTCATTAAATGATACTTCACTCCAATAGACACATTCCTATTTTAAAAATTTTGAATTATTTAATAGTATCCAAGACATGCTGTTTTAGAAATAGATATACAAAACATATATCAATGAAAATCAAGATCTGGTTATTTTACATTACCTGATACATTTTTAAATCACATTAAACAAAAAATAATTGTCTTTAAGTAATTTAAGAAAAATAATAAATTAATGCTACTTTTCCTTTTATAGCATGCTGGTGCTTAAAACACTAACATATACTACTACTTAGCATGTTACATAAGAAAATTTCCATTAAATAAATTAAAAAAGAATAAATTTTTAATTTTTCGTCACACAATTTGGTACCTTCACACTTTACAATTTCGTAGTTAGAATTTCTAATTTTTGGTTCTTTCTGTTAAAATAATTAAAATGAGTTTTAAGAATAAACTCTGCAGTCTTTCCACGTTATTTGTTTGACAAACATTTTCCATCTGAAAATAATTTGTAGTGTTTCAAAATTTGGGTTCTACAGATTATTATTATAAATAATTAGGATTTATTTTTCATGTATAATTCTTACAGTTTGTAAAGATTGTCACACTATTGTTCAAAATGCACTTTTAGCAATTTTTTAAACAAATAATAATAAATACGGTAAGTGTTGCCTTAGATTCATATCATAGATAAGACAATGCCAATATCCTTAGTTAAAGCATTTAAATTATATTTGAAGGAAAAAGTAAAATAAATTAAGGGCAGAATGAAAACTTACTTTATATCTTTCTAAATTCCATAAAGAATTTTGTAAGAGTAGAAGCTGTGCATGTCTCTCTGGAACACCATCAAGATTTTGCTATTAAAAGAATAACAAATAAAATTAGCTCAAATGGAAGGTTATTATAATTCTTTTAAAAAACAAAATAAATAAAGGAAATTTTGTTAAGAAAAATTATTTTTTGCATTCTTCACTGATGAAAACTCCCATTTTATTACAAATAAACTTCTTTTAAACTGCTCTTCTTAATAAATTCAGGTGCAAGAAAATCCTTCCAATAATAATATTAATATGGAAATTGCAATATAGTCAATGCATATATCAAGCTGATTGTCATGAAAAGATTTAAATAGTTAGGTTTAAAGTTAAATGCTAACCTTACCAATTTTTTAAAAAAAAATACTCTTTTTTTATTGTTAAATGTAAGGAACTAAAACAAAACATTATGTTAAAAACTTTATGGCAAAAAAAAATATTACATAAACTTCAGCAAAGCTTTTGCCATTTTTATCACTATTATGTGAACATAACTTTATTTATTAATCAAGCAATGGGGAAACCTTACACACAATCAGGAAAAAATGTCTGTCCTTCCTCAAAAGAAATTAAATAAATCTAAAAGTAAAGATTTGCAAACTGCAAAACAAAACAAAATATTTTCTTTCATCTTCCATCGCTTAAAAGTAGGATAAAAACAAATCATACACACAATGCTTTGAGATTTCTCAGAATAATAAATAATTGCAAAATGTATGAACACAAAATAAAGGAAAAATGGTGGAAACAATTAAAAAGAATTAATAATAGAAAAATATATTTAAGCTAACTAATCAATTACAGTCAATATTCTTTTTCTTTCTAACAAATACAAATTAATTGCATATTTATAGCAAATAATAGGTAATGCTTTATAAGTTGGTTTGCTTTATAAACTAAGAACTATGAATCAGCATTTGTGGGTTAAAAGATCAAAATGGAGCATTTCTTTTTTAATAATTGATTATAGAATTTTTTTTCGAATTTGTGATTCGTCTGATGATAAAAAATTCTAATATAAAGATTTAGCAAAACAAGTACCAATAATGTAAAAATATTTTAAAGATAATAAGCCTTTCCTCTCCTTCATGGATTGAAATTTAATGAATAAAGCCATCTTTTTCACAATAATTTTGAATTTGTGCCTAAGCAAGAGTAGCCATTTTTAAAAAAAATTGATTAGAGGTTATTTTTTTCATTGATAAAGAGTTTTAACATCAAAGCTTAGCATAATAAGTACAAATGTTATAAATTTAAAAAAATAATAAACCTTTCGTTTTGTCCGTGGTTGGTTAAATGACAAAACAAGAAGATCTACAACTGCAGTATAGTCTTTATGTTCATACAATCGTTGTACTTCTTCTAAAGATTGGCATCTTTGTAGAGATTCAAGCTGTTGTTGAACATTACCTTAAAATTACAAACATTAGAATAAAAATTTGTGAGCCACTAATACATTTGATTTGTCTATACATTTACCAAAATTATTTTAATATCGATGAACATGCTTTTAGATCATAATAAATGGTTCGGTTGGTTGGTTCTAATGCCACTTGCCACACGGGCAAGCCTGCTTGGTGAAACCGAGCAAATTTAAGGCAGAGTGTGCGATTCTTGTTCTTCAGTGGCGCCATCTATGGCCAAGAATTTGACTTCTACCACACCATACGTCATACCTGTTTATAAGGCGGATCCATTCATACATCCACAGATCGTAATTTTGACCTGAATCAGATAACGATCGATCTCCAATCCAGTACCCCCAGAGGTTTGATTTATTATGGGAACATGGAGGACTTTGCGACTCGAGAGAATTTTAATGTGCATCAGTCACCAACTACACGGGGAGTCTTCGACCAGCGGGGTTCGAATCCACGAACTCTCGGACACGGGTCCAGCGCCCCACTGACCAGGCTATCCCGGCCCATATAAATAAATATATTGCACAAACAAGGACAAAGTTGTTAACTCTAAAGTTACTACAAAGCAGAGAAAAATATAGAAGATTCATTCAAGAAAATTACACAACTTAGAACACGCATAATTTATTCTTATCCAGCAGTTTTAAATGCACACTTTATTCTTTATTCATAAGGTCTAATTTTTATTCTATGAAAATACTTCATTTTAGCATTTTAAAACAGCAAATTAGTTTAAAGTATTTTCTATCTATTAATAAAACACATTTATTTCAAATAAAATAACTTTGCATTTTTATTTATTATAAAGTATGCATAAAATACAGCAAAGAACGCCCAATTATTTCCTTTAAAATTTGCATTTTTGTTTAAATTTTTTAGAACAAAATTTACTTTAGCACAAGTATATTACGTTAAATTTTTTAAAAAGAAAAGTATTTTCAACTAATAAACATTGCCCAGTATAAACAATTTATTCTAAGGTAAACAAAAGTATAGGTGAAAGTTATAATAAATATTTTAAAAAACTCAAAATAGGAAGTTATTTTTTGAAGAAAAAAAATGCAACATTAACATTTATTTTTAAAATAAACTTAATATTTCAAGCAAATTCTTTCAAACAAAATCTTAGAACAATAAAAAGATTCATCTTACTAGCTGTAATGATGTTATTAACACTAATATTCTGTACTATAATTTTTGCTGGAACATTTTCTTCATCACTGAAAACATCACACAACTGTAAGAAAAAAATAAAAAATATCATAAAAACACTTAGTTTCATGTGCACAAGCACAACAACAACTGTAGAACAGAATATTACACAAAATTATTTGTCATGGTTCAAAAGAAATGTTAACCAAATTCCCCTCCAATGCTAGACAATTCAGAAGTATTTAATAATTTTTTTTTCAAGTGATAACATATCTTACTCTATATTTCCTAAGCAACAGGCTTTTCTAAGAAATTTCCCCTAAACATTGTAAGGTAGTAGTAGGAAAATGTTGTCCAATGATGCACAGCTCAAAAGGAATTTTATTATATTTCTTTCCATTACTAGGCAACTGGAAAGAGTTCGATAAATTTCTTTAATTTGTCTCAAGTTATAATAGATATTTTAAAAAACTATTGCGGAACATAGTAGAATGTTTCCTTCACTTTGGCATGTTTTAAGGTTAAAATTAAGAGATCATATTATTTATTTTTTAAAGATTTTTAAAAATTTGTAAAGTTTAATAAAATTGAATAACTTTTACATTTTAATACCTTTTTTCTAATAAAGCTTGATAAATAAAAAGCTATAAGTTTTATACTAAGCAATAGAATTTTTGATAAATTTAATTATGATTATGAGAGTAAGACATAACAAAGTTCCTAGGATACTTCAAATAATACCTTATATTAGAACAAAATATAACTTTTTAAGTTAAGGCCCCATTTATAAAATGTGTGGACTTACTTTAGTGAAATTCATTATGACTAAATACACAAAATGAGTGATAAAAATTATAAACTTGAAAATATAAATGTTTATTATAAAAAATAAGAATAAATTAAAAGTATTCATACCTTTCCCATACAACATACAGCTAAATCAACTTCTCCTTCAAGACTATGAAATTTGGTTTTCAACCACAGGGCTATAATAAAAAACAATTTCCATTTATACTAATATTATTATTACAACTTTCGCAAGCACCATTTTGAATGCTTATATTTATAAAAGCTCACCACGAATTGAATACGTTAGCCACTCTTCAATTAAAGCATCTCTCCTGACTGTTAGGTGTACTAGAAATTCCATATCAGAATGAAAATCATTTCCAACGTTTTCAGAACCGTGTTGGAGATTTGATGTAGAGGATGTTCTAATTGAAAAGAAAAAATACAATAAACATACAGACCAAAAATCAAATTTTCATGATTAAAATTTAAATGCGGTAGTTTAAAGCTCGAAACTAACTGCAGTTGAAATTTAAAAAAGTCTCACAAGAAATTTATAAGCACAGATTCAAGTCTATGTCTAAGTAGCATTTAAAAAAAATTTAAGAACTAAATTAAGATATGATTAGAAAATTTTATTATTAATTTAATTTTTAAATAATTTAAACTTGGTTATTTTTGTAATAAAAAATTTAATTTTTAGTTATATTCTATAAAAGTAACTTATTTCCTTCTGTTTCATGAAAACCAAAGAAATAAACATTTTACAATGCTTCGACTGAGCGAACAAATAATTTAGTTTAATAATTTTAATTTAGTAATAATTTTAGTAGTGTTTAAATAAACAAAATTATTATTTATTTTTCAGGTTTTAAGTAGCTGTTTATTATTATTATATATATGTATACAGAATATTATTAATAGTAGCTACTATTTTGTACAAAGTTGGGTAACAAATGTAAATTATTTCAAATTTTATTTTTTCTCTGTTACTTGAATTTAAAAATAATTACGTTTCTACATTGTGTCTGAGACTTAGCTAAAGCATTTTGATTAGTTCTGTCCATAGTTTAAGAATAGCACTTAGTTTGCTATTTAAAGAAGAAATAAAATTCTGAACATCAATTATAAATACTTAGTTGCTTAGAGACAGATAAATTGTTTAGATCAAACTCCTAGTACTTATTTCCTTGTCTTTGTCTGTATAGAACTTTGTTTTCACACAAATAATTATTGATACTCATAAAAACTACTAATTATAATATGGGAACCATTGATGTTTTTTGCCAACCCAAGCATCGAAGAAAATATTATATAATGAATTAAAATTATTAATTACATATTTTGAAATAATAAGGTTTAATTTCAGGACATCAGAATTGATAAAGTGCAACATTACTAAATATATATTTTTTTAAATAACTTCCTTATTAATTTACAATCTTTCTTTATAAAATTTTAGTTGCAACTAAAATTTATTTTTAATTTAAGCAGTTATCTTTAATTTTAAAATAAAAATATCTAAGGAGAACAGAAAAAAAATTTACAAGTGCACTTTAAACTTTTGTGTAGGCTTTTTCATACAGTAAAATTTTTTTCTTCATAACTATAACAGTGCATATTGTAAGATGGACAGAGCTTCTGTTTAGTTTTTTTTTTCTTTAACTTCCATGGAACTTTAAAGTCAGAAACTAGGTTCAACTGGTTCTGTTATGGAATTAATTTTGGTTGTTTGATCTTAACAATAGGTATCAAACATGCTTTGAAGCCTGTAAAGGCTTATATAGGTTATGAATAAAGATGAGGCAAATATTTTCCTTTTTGTTATAGGCTAAGCTTACACTTAACTTTACTACATCACAATATTAAAATTTCAAGTGTTGTTCATTTCATTGAGCTTCTTGCATTCCCATTTCTAATACCTTTCTCTCTAATCAAAAGTAATCAAAACTAAATAATTAAGATAAAATTCGAAATGAATCACTTACCCTTTAGGTGAAAATGACATTGTATGACCAGTACTTAGATACCACTTGTCAACTTTAAATTCACAAAAAACAAGAATGGCCTGGAATGTAAAAAACCATTATAATATTCATTTTTAAAATATTATTGTATTTTCAATATTATTTTAAGGTACAATGCTTAGATTTCTCTTTGCTCAGCATCTTGCCAATAATGTTGATACTTACTTATCAATAAAAAACAAATGCATATATTTCAACAAATGTTATCTGAGCAAGTAGCTTTTTGTTGATTGAAAACTGCTTGGAAATTTTTTTAAATTCATTTATGAAAAACTATTTTTCCAGATTTGATAACTATAATGATGGTTAGGGAAGGGGTAAAAAAAGTAAAAGACCATAATTGAAATGAAATCCCAAAAAACTAAGTGAAATTTTACAAAACATTCATTTTCAGGTTTTAGAAGAACGGACAAAGTTTGCTTTTCCACAAGAAAGATTGATATTAAAAATTTGATTTTCTAATGTATTTAAGTACAATAACACAACTTTTTTAAATATATATATATATATATAGTGGTGGCCAAAAGTGTGGACATTTTTTGAAAGTTTCATGTTTTTCAACTTTGTGCACTTGTAGAATATATTAATTTTCACTTAAATACAAATGTTTAGATATCAAATTGAAGGTAATTTAATGTAGAATTTAATAACGAAAGCAGAATTAAAATATCTGTATTACAAAAAAAGTTATGCTCAATTTAGTAAAACAAACAAACACAAATCATTTTGAATAAGGACGTGTTTTGTAATAAAAGCATACTAGCCAATCGCAAACACTGTTCTTAGGACCAATCAAATGTCTGTAACTATAGTTTAGGTTATTTGGATGGTATAAGAGTTATTGTTGTGGAAATATTTTGCAGAATGATGCATACTAGTACAATTAAATAGAGTATTGCTGTTTTTACATATTTAAAGTCCTTTTTTTTAATTAAACTAATTTTAAACAATATCATCAACAAGAAGAACTAATAGGACATCTACAAAAAGAAGCCAAATTGTCATACAGAGAAAATGGCCTCTCTTATGCTGAAATTGCAAGACAAGTTGGTGGTTCAGCGACTTGTTCTAGTGTACGAAAGTTCTGTTTACGTTATGAAAAAACGAAATCAGTGGAAAATAAAGCCAAATCAGGACGAAAAAAATGCACAAGTGCTACTGCTGATAGAAAAATTAAACGGCCATGCCTTCAAGATAGAAAAATTTCATCAGATGCCATTAGATGTAAATTGAATGCAGCGGGTATTGCAGTAAGTTCAAGAACAATAAGAAGAAGGTTATCAGGATTGGACTACAAGCTAGAATTCCAAGGAAAAAACCATATTTAAATTAAAAGCAACGCAAAAAACGAGTTAAGTGGGCAAAAGAACACATATAATGGTCAGAAAATCAATGGAAGCAAGTAATCTGGAGCGATGAGAGTAAAATATTGCTCTTTGGTAGTGATGGTAGAAAATACGTGAGACGTAGAGTAGGGGAAGCACTTCATCCTGATTGCATTGAAGCAATTACAAAGAACTCAACAAATGTCATGATTTGGGCATTTATGTCTGCAGATGGTGTAGGCCGAATTCAAGTGATTGATGGCATCCTGAATTCCAAAAAATACATCGAAACTGTCCTTAAAACTAAAATTGATACCTTCTATCAGGGATATCTTCCCCAACAATGCACCATTTATTTTTCAGCAGGATTCAGCTCCATGCCACACAGCAAAAGTAGGCAAAGCATGGTTTCAAAATAAAGGCATAGATATATTACCATGGCCAGGAAACAGCCCTGATCTCAATCCAATTGAAAATTTGTGGCGACATTCGAAAATTCTTGTACGAAAAAAACGTCCATCCAATAAAAGACAACTTATTGAAGCTATAATTGATTCTTGGCACCATGTGATTACGAAAGATGAACGCCAAATACTCGTTCACTCCATGAAAAGATGTTGTGAAGTTGTCTTAAAAAATAAGGGTTATCCTACTAAGAATTGATTGTGTAAGTATCACTTTAAAAAAATGCAAATCTAAGATAGATCTTACTATTAGTTGCATAACTTTTTCTGTAATACAGATATATATGTATACAGANATTTTTTAAATATACAAAACAGCCAATGCGAGTGCAAATTTACATTTTAAAATGCTAACAACAATGCTATTTATTGAATTTTTTTACAAAAAGTTCTTTTAGTAGTATAGTATTTGATCTTGGAGCAAAAGACTGTCAATTGTCGTATTTCGTGAGAATCACCCCATATGTATATATATATATATATATATATACAAAAATTAAAAAAAGAAAAAAACATGAAGAAAATTAAGAAGAAGAATAAGTTTTATTTACTGTGCATAAGCTGCAAGTAAATAGAACTCATAAAATAAGTTCAAAATGTAGAGAAAACGTGGAAAAAATTGCAGAACAATGAAAAAATGGGAAAATTAAAATAATAATAAAAATAATGAGAAACTGGAAAAAAATCGCAAAAAAGGGAAAAAAATTAATAAAAATCCGAAAAATAAAAGATATAATCTTTTCATCAGCTCACACGATTATATCCGCAAAAAGGAGTGTTTTCTAATATCGTATCAATATAGCAAAAGCAAAATATATCAATACAATACTGTGAGGAGCACTGAAAAAAAATATTTTACAAAAAATTTACAACAAATAAAATAGAACACATTAAGTAAAAATATCATGTAAAAACAGAAAATAAAATATAAAGAAAATCAAACACACTTCAGTACTGCAGTAAGAATGCACTTTAATACAAAACCCCTCCTTTTACGCTTCTACCTCAATTTGCACTTTTGGTTTCATGTTTTGTAATCTGGCAATCTCGTTATGAAAATATTTTAAATCATTCTTAAAAAATTTCCCGTTTATGAAAGTTCATTTGAATTCGCTACTCACTTTATAGATTTCGTTTTATGTTTAATTCTGTTTTTTTCTTTCCTTTTTTTTTCTTATTTTATTTCCTGTTTTAACGTGATATTTTTACTCAATGTGTTCTATTTTATTTGTTGTAAATTTGTTGTAAAATTTTTTGAGTGCTCCTCACACTATTGTATTGATATATTTTGCTTTGGATACATTGATACAATATTAGAAAGCACTCCTTTTTTGCAGATATAATCATGTGAGCTGATGAAAACATGATATCTTTTATTTTCCGGATTTTTATTAATTTTTTCCTTTTTACGGATTTTTTTCCGTTTCCTATTATTATCCGGTTTCTTTTTATTATAATTTTTCTTTTTCGCCCTTTTTTCATTGTTCTGTAATTTTTTCCATGTTTTCTCTACATTTTGAACTTTGTTACCTATCTCAATTGATCAACAAACACCAGCAATTTTTTTTATTTCATTTATTTATTTTAAACTCATATATGTTAAAGTTAAATATTATAATGGAATTTAACTTAGATAATTAAAAATTATTTTGCCAAGTTTAAACAATATGATGAAATAATATGTTGTGAGGCAACTTATTTATAAAAATTTTTATCACCTAGTCAGAAAAAAAAATTTAAATCTTTGAAGATAGCAATTCCAATTTAGTCAATGAATATAGAACTAAATGCAATATAAAATAATTTAAAAAAAAACATTCTTGAATTCTAAGTTAAACATATTTTAAAAAATTCAACTGAAACATATGTCTAACTGAAAATGTAAAAAAGGAAAAAAATATTCAGAAAGGTTTTTTGTTTGAAAATTGTTAGGTCTTATTATGAAAAACTAATATCCATAAAAAAATTGTCATAAGTTAAAAGAAAACTTACATATCCCATTTCTTTTAAACGACGCAGTTCAGTTGATTGACTAAAAGTAAACAAAAAAGTTCAAAAATAATACATTAATTGCGCAACAAATGAAGAAAACTAAAAGAACTATGAAGCCATTTAAAACTAATTACCTGAAAATATTTGGAACAGTTATATGTTTTCTCAGTCTTTGAAATGCTGAACAGTAAACATCAATAACGGTTTTTGGCCTACAAATATTAGAAATATTTTATGATAAAAAATACAACAGCAAATAGTTTGAGTACATAAATAAAACTCAAATTTAATTTTTAAAAAAATTGAACAGATGAAATACTAGACGATATTTAAAGGGCATGGTTGAACTAAAATGCCCTTTAACATGTTCTTTCAATAAACTTGTCACTTCTGAATTATATGAGAGTACAAAAGATGTTGTTTGTTCATCTAAAGCTAACTTGAAAATCCTCGAAGTTAAATTCTAATTTTTGATTATTTATATAGATGTGGAAGGTAAAATTTTATTAAAATTTAAAAAACGAGATATTTTTTTATAAAAATATATTGATAGAAAAATAGATTATGGATGAATAAAAATTGTATAGGCAAAAAAATTGGATGGAAGAAATGTTAATTGAAGAGTTTAGTCAAAGAAAGTGAAAATATTCAAGTTCTTAAAATCACTAAAATACAAGGGAAGATAATTACAATAGCAAAATAGCTAGTGTAAAATTTTCGGAATGATAATTTTTTTTTAAAAAATCAGATGGAACGCATAATTGCTGCTCTTCAAAAAAATATTTGGTGACTCACAGAATATTATTGGTTTCTCAATATTCAAATTCTTAAGGGGCTATAGCTCGTAACCTCTCTAACTTAAAAATACATCTTCAGTTTAAGTAACTAAAGATATAAAATTTTTTACTGCATAGAAAATGCATTTAATAATACAAAATAAATCATATGATAAAAAAAAATTTATTTTTTTTCTTCACTCAATCAATTTAACTATAATATAAAAAATTTAGTATCTGTAAAAAAAATAATAATAAACTATACACTAACAAAATAAAATTATACTCAAACTCTTATAAAATTTCATTACCATATATATATATATATAAACCTCATAAAAACAGAAATTCAATTGGCATAATGGACAATTACAGTCAATTTTTAAAAAAATCTTAATGCATTCAAAATCCCAGAAAACATTTTATTCCTTTTCTAAGAGTGCTAATTATTTGGTTATTTTTCGTCTGAAACAGGGAGTCACGTGATTATTCACCAATTGATGTCACCCGTGCCCTTCTGCTGTTTATTTACAATCGCTGCGCTATGAAAGCCATTACGTTCTTGCTTTTTTTAAAATTTTTGTTATTAAATACGATTTTAGATGGTAAATAACTAGGTGAGAACAAAGATATGTATAATAAATTGTGCCCTAATGAAGCTTAATGAAAATGTAGACTTAATACATATTTATAAAATTTAATTTTAAGTTAAAAGAAGAAAAAAAAGGAATTAATATATTCCAGCTCATTTTGCGTATTTTTATAATATCTTAAATTTTAATGGTATGCACTGAAATATTGTTAATAGTTGACGGAATTCTCTAGTTCTGAGTAGTAAGATTTTTTAGTATAAGTTATGGTAAGGTGTTAAAAATAAAAACCGTGTTAGCATAAGTTATGGACGCCTGATATTACTTATTGAAATGATACATTATAAATACAATATAATTTTGTTCTTACATTTTTTTTAGACGTGTTATTCTTAATTTTAAAGTGTTCACATTAATTTTGAAGATTTATTTTCATTACAATTTTGTTCTTTCATTTTTTTAGACACGTTAATCTTAATTTTAAAGTGTATTTCAAATTCATTTTGAAGATTTATTTTCATGATAAGTGAAAAAAAAAATTTGAATCATTTTTTTATAAAGAATAGTTTTAGACTTTAAAAATGTAGAAAAGCTTAAGTTATTATTATTTTATTTTACTTATTCTAGCTTGAATTAAATGCAGGGAATTATATTTAGCATAGCAGTAACCTTTTGAAAAAAATTGCAATCCCATCATAACTTTTAAATTATTTTTGCAGAAAAAAAAATTTTAAGTTAGAAGGAAAAAAAACTAATATATTCCAGTTTATTTTATTCACATTATTTTAATTTACGTTAATCTATGTTATAAGAGCTTTGAAATCAAGAAAATGCATTTATTTAGTTCTACACAACAGAAACAGGAATTAAATTTTATAAATACATATAAAAATAATTTTTGATATAGTAAAATCCCTATTTACTCAAAGAATAAAAATTTTGAGAACAATATCAACATTACTGTCTATTTAATTATTTAATAAATAATAAAAAATGTGCATCAGAATTTCATTTAATTTTGCATAATTTTTTTTAATTCATTAGCTTTAGCGAAACAAAAACGTCTAGATTAATGATAGACACTTAAATTATGTGGCAAAAAGAAAATACATTAAGTGAAATTTTAAGTATAAGCACCTAGATTAAAATGATGATGATAGACAGATATATTTCAATGAACTAGATTCGTGAAAGCGTTGCTTCGTTTTCTGCGATACCGAATGATTAACATGAGATTTTTTCACCTATTTTAATTAAATTTTTTTTCATTAAAAATGCATAATGCATTAATTTTACTATTTTAAAATTCTTCTTTGCAAACATTGACAAATAGTTTTCAGAAATAAGAAGAAAAGTAATGATAATCATACTGTGTAAATACTATATTGCAGAAAGAGGAATTAAAATTTATAAATTAAAAAATAAAAACAATTTCTAAGAATAGATGTGTATTTTTGAATAAATATAAAAATAGAAACTTAAAAAAAGGCAAATTTAAATTTTATTACCTGAATATTTTAACTTAAAAACATAGGTTATAATAATGATGGATAGATATTTTTCATTGGACTATATTTATGAAAACACTGATTTGTTTTAATGCAATAGCGAATAATAGAATAATCCACCCTATATCTAAATGTATACTATTTCTATCCAATCTGCGACTGACTTTAATTAAGTACTTAGGCTTTAATGGAGCATTATTTCAACTTAATGAGTGGAATAAAATAATATTTTCTATAAACTTAAACACCACTGATTTCATCCGAAAAGAAATGTTGATTCACTGTAAAAAGCTGAACAATCATTTTTTCAGGTATTTTAGTGATAAAAAAACAAATTGAAGTTTTAAAAATCTTTCTTTAACTTTGCACATACTCTCAAAGCTGTAAATTCAATTCACAAAATTTTTACTAACAATATGCACTGGATGTTCATACAATATAAGTGATATCAAAACTAAAAGAGCATTGAAATAGCCTTAGCGGATGGAGGTGGTAAATTTCTGTTCAGCACACGTGACGTCATAACCAATCAGGGATCGTTTTTGATTTCATCACTTACGGAGGCCTTTTTTGGCAATTTAAATGTCTAATAATTAAAAAAAATAAGCATTTATGAAGAGAAAAAAACAACAATTAGATATTCGGTTTCAGAAGAGAATTTTCAGTAAGTTAGGATTGAAAATAAAAAAATTAAGAGATGCTGTATTGCCATTGTAGAACCTTACTCTCACCATTGTTGGAAAGCTTTGAGTCACTAGTTTAACAGTGAAATCCTGATACAACAAACACCTATATGCAGAGAAACATAATTTTTTTTTTGTAGCTGAAAGACCTTTATTTGTTGTGGTGTGTAAGTTAAGAGAGAGAGAACGTCTGTTAACGTCATCTGACTCATTTCAAAACTACATGGCATTCCTAAAATGGTCATTCAAGAGTGGAGTCCTGAAAAACAAGGCCATGGTTGGGTGATATGAAGTCAGTTTTGTTATAACATTTCTTTGCAATCTGAAAAATTCTAAAATTTTTACATTTTAAATCTTAGCATAGATGAAGATACTAGTTTATAATACTGGAATACTATTTGCCTTTAACTTGTTTTGTTTCAACTTTATATATTGCTTTTTTTATGTTATAATTGAAATTTAGCTCAACTTTAATGAATATTAATAAGAGAAAAATTTACAAACCACACTAATGAACTTTTACTTCCAAGAATTGTAACATAGTTATAAAGCAGATCTATTATTCCTCCATTAGATTGATTATTTTTGAGGAAATCATTTACGTCATCCTTCTCAGTAGAAACAAGTTCATTAAAACTTGATGCTTTATCTGAAAATAATGAAAATTGACTCATAACATCTTCTATTAATGACAAAAAATTATGCATCTTAACATAACTAAGATTCTCATAATATTCAGTCCTTTAATATTTTATGAGAATATACATACATTATGTTTAAAAGCTTTTCCCTTAAAATTCAAATATTCAGAATACTGCTTTTTTCCTCTTTTTAATGCTTTTCATGCATGAAAGAAAAAAAAGACTAACTTTAATTTGAAAAAAAAAATTATAAATAACAAAAATTGCAAAATTAATAATAGTCTTAAGTTTTTCCCTTAAAGTTAAGCAAATGAAATTCTAACTATTGTTTCTTTTTTAATTAATTTTCTTTATACAAAAAAAGAAGAAAAAAAACAGCAGCATGTTTATTAATTTATTTTTTTAAAATTACAAATAAACTGAGAATTACTACTCATATCTTAAAACATTATATCTACCAAAATGAGATTAAAACAAAATCATAAAAAATCTGCATAACTAGACAAGCATACCATTTTTTTCATGTTCAGATGATTGCCCATAGTTGAGATCACTGCCTTTATCATTTGATGCAGTTTCACTGTCTTCATCCTGCTCTTCAAATTTACCATCTCCACTAAAGTTCAAAATAGTTTCTTCATTGTAGAGATCAATGCATGGATGTCTTAATAACATACATACTCAATACAACAAAGTTCAGTGATGTCTTATACAAATACAAAGTAAAAAAAAGCAAAATAAAAGGAGGAAAGATGGCTTATTTGAGATCATGAAACTTTCAAAAATTAGATAAAATATACACAAATGTTTTAAACAATTTTATTTTTTCAAACCATGTTAATTTTTTATCGCTTCCTTTCATAACTAATTAAATACTAGAAATCCAGTATATATTATGCATAAAATAAACAAAACAAAAATTATAAAAATAAATAAATTGAAAAAATATTCCTTATTTGCTTCAAATGTTTAATTTCCAATTTCCTTTCTAGTTTTATTGCTATCTACATATGTACAGTAGTTTAGGAGAAAATGCAAAACTAATTTAAAAAGCACAATTGATTAATGAAAAATGTAAGAAACTAATGATTATTTTAAAGCAAATAATATGCTAGCAAAAATATATTATGATGGGATTTCTGTGCCCGCTGGATGGACAAAACAGACCCACTTCATGCAAAATGCTTTTTTTGTATTTCCCTCCCCAACAAAGAAATTCTTTTCCCTTCTTATAAAATATTTCATATGTTTTAAATATAATTATATACACTTAAAAATATCTTTATTAGTTCCAAGATGAATGCTAGTAAATAATTAAAAACTGCAGTAGAATTTGTTTTTTGTATACATTTTCTACATTAATTTCAATGAAATACAGTGGAGCATCGTTTATACGACGCCGAAGGGACCACCGAAAAACGTCGTATAAACGATAACGTCGTATAATCGATTTTTACTTCTAAAACTGAAACTAACTCTGTTTTCAGTTAATTTTAATGTTTAACGTGTTGATTTACATAAATTTCTAAATTAGACAAAGCAAAACAAACAAATAACCAAAGAAGAAAAATTGCAGTGAGCAGTTTGAATGTATGTTACCTTTAATTATATTTTCTTGCTATTAGTCTCTACAATGCTTTGAATAGCGAGTTGAACTTACTGCTTTCTATGATGCAATTTTAGATTTCTAATCACGGCCAAATCTAATGGCTGAAGCGCACTTGCGCAATTTGCAGGAAAAAAGAGAGCTTTTACATTTTCCAAAATAATTAGTATCGATGGGTGCGCTGGGCATTGGTCGATGAATAGCAAAGTTTTTCGTTTTTGCCTCTTCATAATATTGTCTAGTTTTTTCAGTCATCTAGTAAAAATTACGGTCGTCATCCAAGCATTCTTGTTGGCACCCTTTTCTGTATCATTCATGTTGGCAAATGCCGCCTTTTTTCAAAATACACAAGAAAAAATAAAAAATTAAATAAACGTGAACAAAATCTAAAAACCGACGTATAACCGATTCTGTGCGTCGTATAAACGATATATTTTTACATTAAAATGAATAGGAATGATTTGGGATCACACTAAAACGTCGTATAAATGTAAACGTCGTATAAGTGATCGTCGTATAAACGATGCTCCACTGTATTTGCATACAACAGATACCACTAAAAAGGTAAGCAATTTCATATTTACTTGTTGAACCTTTGGTTTCATTCATTGGCAAGTAAAATTTTTTGCAGTTTTACCCGACAACATACATTAAATCAGAACAAGCAAAATATGTATTTTTCCTACAGATTATTTAAGTAAAGTAAAGAAAAACAAAAATTAATCTCAAAACAATGCCCCAGGATTTTTTTCCTCTCCATCAAAAGAGAGTATTTTGCAGACATTTATTACTGCAGAAATATGTTAGATTTAATTAGCAGTATTTTTCAATTTACTTAAACTAAGTAAATATTTTAAGAGCAAAATACACTTAACTCCAATAAAATAATTGCAAAATTATTTATAAGCAAAATAAATTTGGAAATATTATACACACTTCAAAATTTTAATAACAAAAATATCGCCATATTTTGAATAAAATATAGAATTTTTATACTTAGGGGAGGGGAGAAACCATTGTCTCATGATTTGAATTTACTTCATTCAATATTATATCACAAAAGTCATTAGCTAGGCTTCAAAATTAAGACTATTGACGCAATAAGAACAAAAAGGTTTTAAATGGTATTTTTTACAAAAGAAATTTTTTTTTCTTTCTTTTATGAAAAAAAAGTAACTACAAAATCATGGATGACCATGTACACCCTTGTGCAAATTAATTTAAACAAACTCAATAAATTCGGAAAACTAAGAGAAAATGATATTTTATTTAAATTTATACAAACTCAAAACTTTTTAGTGCATAATAAGATCTCCACGACACTTTATTAACATTTGGACATGATTCGGCATGTATTCCACTAATGTTTTACAGTCATTTATAATATTTGTGTCCTTGTACCACACATGAATTAATGCCATGATTAGCTTCTCTATAGTTGTACAGTCCATATTTAATAGGCGATTCTTGCATATGGCCCAGAGATTCTCAATTGGGTTGATATCCGGAGAGTTCCCTGGCCATTCCAATGTCTCAATTTGATTCTCAGACATGAATTTCTTGACAATTTTGGACGTATGGCAAGGAGCTAAATCCTGTTGAAAAATCCCTGTTCCATCAGGGTATCGTTTCTTCAACTCTGGAACAACTTTTTTACCCAGAATAGTAATGTACTGCTCAGAATGCCTCATACCGTCAATAGGCTGCAAAGGTCCAACCCCATTGTAACCGAAACAACCCCAAAACATCTTCTTTAAAAAACACGAAAAAAAAAGTTTGTTTTAATTAATTTGCACAAGGGTGTAGTTACAATTAGTTTCCATTATTATCATCCACACTATTGCTAGTAAAGAATAACTTTACCTTGTGATCATAAACATTTAATACAACAATCTTTGTTTTTATTTAATGCATGTTAGGTTAAAGATCAATAAAAATATGGGTCACAAAAATTAATTAAATTTAAAGCAAAAATTTGAGAATCATGAGTAAGTACAAGAAATGTGTTTCAATATTTCAAAGGCAGCTTTACAAATGCTTTATAAAAAAATATATCATTTAATCAAATATTTAATTCATATTATACATCATTCAATTAGAAAGAAAGAATTTCTAAGGTTTAAATTTAAAAAAAAATTTAGAAAATGTTTCTAAATGGAATTATTTTTATGAAATTTTATAACGATATAGATTAAAGGATGGACATAATAAAAATTGCAGCTCACAAATAAGAAAACCAATTTGAAAGAGAACCATGTAAAATGACTGTAAATAAGAAACTTTTCATTCAACTTTTATTGATTATCTTCCACATCATTTATCCTTGCAGACGTTAAACAAGTTAATTAAAAAAAGTATTTAAAAAAACAATTTAAAAAAAAAAACAAGTTTATGTATTATAATGCTAATTTTTATATAAGTAATGAGTTAAAAATTTTGAACTTACATGAGTTTTGATGGCAAAAATTTTTGCAGTAATTCTTGATAATTAACATTATCATGAGGCTTCCTTAGTGCAGGATTTCTAACCTAATAAATTGAAATGAATTCACTTTTACTATATAGTACACAATAGAATAAAAAACAAGCAACTTTCAAATAAACAACTCTCTTTTTTAAAAAAGAACATTTAAGGACTTTTTATTTCAAAAATTGCATGCTTAAAATTAGATTATATCCAGGCAGCAAACTACCCTTTTAAATGTCAACCAAACTTAGTCTGGAATAAAATTCTGAAATTTTTTCAACTCGGCTAAGTAGCTGAAAAAAATTTAATAAATGGTATGAAAAATAAATGATTAACTTATATTTTGTAACTAATAATAAGTGTAAATAGCACACATAAAAAAAAATTTTTTTTGATAAATAATCAGGTTTCTCATTCCATTTCAAAAAATAATATTCCTTAACTTTTCTACTGGTCATCAAAACTCCAAAATGTCATAAAAACTCTATTGATCTCATTAGAAAAATTCCTTAAAACTCCAAAACACATTTTTGCTTTCATACACAGCAATATTTCATTAGAGATAAAATATTGCTATCATACACAGCAATATTTCATTAGAGATAAAATATTTTTTATCCAATATATAATCAAACTTACTTTTGATGGAAAATATATCAAATATTAAATTTTATAAAAAGTAAAATTTCAGTAAGCGAAGGTTTAACAGTTAGATATTATACAACACAAGAACAACTTATAGATAGAAAGCAACCTCTTCTTCTCGTTCCCGTCAAAATGATGGGGTCGAGTTTCGCCTTCTATTTCTCTTGCCCTTGATATTTCCAAGATGAAATGTTCAAAAGTAACACACCAAAAAGATTAAAACAATCTTTACATCAGGTGGCAGTACCAGACTATTTTTAATGTGTTTAGAAATAGCTAGTTTATTTAAAACTGAATGTCAGTACTAATCAAACAAATAAGCAAAAAATTAATTCAAAAATTAGCAGTGACGTATTTTATTATTTACTTGTGATTAAGCTTCAAAATTAATTTAAACAAAAAACTTATTTTTTAAAAATAAACATTACCAGCTGAGTGGAATTATATTATTGAACTGTTAAAGTGGTAAAATTAAAGAAAAAAGTTTAAAATAAAAATTTTTTAAACAATTTCTATTAATTATAATTACATTTTGATAATTTTCAGAAAATATGTTGCAGAGAAATTTTGAAAAAAATAATCGTTATAGAAATCAAATTAATTTACTTTAAAACTCCCAGGCTGCAAAATGTTTACAATGAATTTAAAGATAGGTTATTTTCTAGTTTTGTTATGGGATTTTTTTTAGGTTTTAGTTAAAAAAAATCCATCAACCCAGACAATTCAACATTTTCCAGACTAAATGGAAGCTCTGATAATGAATCCTATCTAAACATTTTAATTAAAATTAATAAATTTATCTAAAAAAATCTAAATAAGTTCATACTCTTGTAGATCGTCGTTTTGATGAGAATTCACTTAGTTCTGTAAGAAGACGTTTCCTTTTTGATGTTCTCCTACTACCTGAAGCAGAATCATTATACATTGAAAGATCAGTTGGTGTAGTTTCAATTTGAGGCAAAACTAAATAAGAACTATTCTGTAACTGATTAGAATTGCCTGCACTGGGAACATCATCAACTTCCATTTCAACTGCATTATTTTCTAAAAACAGTCAATAGTTTTGAAATTTGACAAAAATGTTTATAACAATTAGTAACACAAAAATAAGCAAAATAAAACAAAACTAGGTTTTCCAAGGAAATAAAAATAAGGATGGAATAAGTTTTATCATTCAAATTAAATATAAATAAAATTTATACATTACATATTTCAGACCTCATAGTGGATCAAAGAAAAAGTTATTATTATTATTTAATTTATTTATTATTATTTTCTTCTTCTTTTTTTTAATTTTTTATTTTTATTTTGAAACAGCAAACATATACTTAATTACTTTCTCAAAGGGTAAATGACAAACTAAAATAAAATATAATTTGTTCTATTGATGTATAATAAAGGCAAATTCTACACTGTTTTTAATTTTAGAATTACTCTATCTAGAACAGAACCTTTCAATAGTTTCTAGTTTAATTTTATTCTAGCATGATTTTAGTATGAGCACTGAACAACTCATGATAGTTTGAGATCAATATCAATATATTAAAATGTTTATAGTTGCATTAAAAAATTACCAGAATCAATTAGTTAATATTCCCTCATACCAATGTATAATTAAAATATGCATTTAAAATATGTAATCAAGTTAAACTACAATCAAGTTTTTAAACAGAATAGGGTTTCATTAATTTTGAAACAAAAATACAGAAACATTTTGTTTAAAATTTAGTAGATGCTCCCTAAATTTAAAAATTCTATGATACTACAATGATTGGAATCTATCATTTTAAAAATCAGATAAAAGAAACAAATCAATAGTTGGGAATTTACAAATCTCCACCTTACAGGATATGTAACTACATATGCTGAAAATAAAATATAACTCTTGAACTTGCACTCATAAAAATTTTATAATCTAAAACTGCTAATTCAGCTTCATCTTCCTAAAATATAACTGAATTTCAAAAAAGTTTGATATGATGAGTACGGCTATATGCCTAAATCATGTATACATTTATATAGTTAGTGGACCTAAGTTTGGACCATCAAATTTTACCTTTTTTACTTGCATTATTAATTAAAATAAAAGATATTGGATCGAAAGACCAAAATATCTGATTCTTCAAATCGATTAATTTAAATTCCACATTTGTGTGCGTAGAAATTAGGATGCTCTGAACACCCAAAAATCAAGATCATCAAAATATCAGGACAAAACATTTTTATCGGGAATATCATGACAACTACATTAACCTACATCTGATAAACTGACTTATTAATAATATACACTGATGTATGGCTAGTAAAGTGCTTAACTTAATTTTAAGTATGTATCTTAATTTAATCTATTAATTTTATCTGGAGGAGCACAAAAGTTTTACAAAATCAAAACAGCAAGAACTATCAATTCATATTTCCAGACTATTTATATTATAGTTATAGACATAAATTAAAAACTTAATTGCTAAAGAAAATTAGAAATATATTAATGGCTGAATTTTGAATAGAGTCATTTATTACAAGCTTTGGAAGAAAAAAATTTATCAATTGAATTGAAACAACGATTGTAAAATGAAAGGAAGAATGAAACAAACCATTAGCTGCACTTTGACTGGCATTATTTGCAAGCTGAAGAAGACCATCAGATTTTTGCCCAGGTGGCAAACCATTGCAGCGAAAAGTTGAACTGCTACTGCACGCCTCTGACAAAGATGATATAGGAGAAGGGCACTGCAATTTGTCCTCATTTTTGTTGGCATTTTCCCCATATTGAGATAAATCAATTTTGCAGTTGAAAGACTAAAAATTTAGGTAAATTTAAGCAATTTTTTAAAAAATATTATTTATCACATTAAAATTAATTTATTTTATAACTTACAATAGTTGGAGTCGCATTGTAGACAACATCATACATGTTTACTAAACTATCCCCAAGAGCTTTCCAACTAAATTTTTCATGAAAAAAAAATAATAATAATTACTCTAAAGTGCAAGTAAAATAAAATAAGCTAACCTTCATATACTGCAGTAAATTCATGATTATTCCTGGCTTCGTTCCAATATATCCAAATCTTAAGTCTATGAAATACATTATTTAAAGAACACAAACAAAAACAAAAAAATTTATGATTTAATTAATATCTCATTCTACCCAAGAATATAAACTCTAAATAGAATATTGTTGTCTCAAAACTTACTAAAGTAACACTTTAAACTTAATAAACTCTAAATAAAATTTCTCCAAGCTCTAAGTAACATTATTCAAATTGGTTGGTCTAAGTTTTCAAACACTAGTTACCAAATTCACCTACTTTTTCTTTACTTATAAAAGAAATTCAGATAAATCAAAAGTGCTGTTTGAATGTATTAACAAAAAATTTTGATAAAAATATTGCTTTTTTTTTTTCAAGGTTTAAGTTTAAGTATTTTTATCAAAATTTTCATGATTTTGTTCAAAAAGCAGAAAATTTCTAGAAAATTAGTTCATAATTTTTTTCAGTTAATCAATGACATAACAGCATAAGCAAAAATAAAATTTACAGCTCTATTTCTCTATCTATCTCCCCAGCTGATCATTTGAAGAAAATGTGCTCACATCAATTGCAGCTTATAAACAGTTAGTGCACTATTCTTTTTTAACTTTTGAAGATATATTTATAACTTCTCTCTCCCTCATGGGTGTGACTTGAATCAAAAAAATATTAAAAATCACATAATTTTTACATCATAATACATATTCTTTCTTTAGTCTTACAAGGACAAAACATCAGCTTTACCATATTTTAGTCCTGGTGAGATACTATTTCACAAAGTTTTTTCAGGGGAAACTACAACAGTAATATCTTGAACAGACATTTTTGCTGAGGATTTTTTCTTCCCTTTCATTAAAAGCTAAAATCTACTACCAGAAATGTTCAAAACCAAAAATTTTTAAAACACACATTTATTGGACTAAGACCTTAATGCAACACTGATGACCAACAAACATTTCAGAACAAAATAATATTTAAGTAACGAAAAACATATTTTAACATAATAACAATATTCAAAAATTTATTGAGCTTTAAAAAAATTGTGAATAAATCCATTTTTGGAAGAGAAAATTTCTTATGGATCTGTTTGTCAACAGAATGGAAACAGCCTAATCCTTAACATAGTTAAATCTTTTCATAAATTGCCAGTCACCCTGCTTTTGAAAATGCTTAATCATTGCTTCATAAACCCAGAAATCTTAGTTTCTGGGAAGAGGCTCCTTCACCAATGTCACCATTTCATGATGAGCTGTTTTTTCCATCTATTATTATTATGGCATTTACATACCAATATCACAGATTTACATCTAGATTCTACTGATGTTAATAATTGTGGCTTTTCTATATGAATTAGGAAGGGATTGATGAACATTAATTGTTTATATATATATGTTGCATGCGCCATGCAGCGCCATCTGCACAAAAGCAGACTTCCTCTGCACTCATTCACGGAACGGCAATGGGGAGGCAACTCTAAAAAGATGTTACAGCTTTAATTATTTTGTATTGTCTTTTAAGTGTTTTTTTTTCATATTAAAAGCTTCAAATGCAACCCTAGACTGCTTTGAAGCTTATCATCGACATTCCCCGTCCGTAACATGGGGGCTCGACCCGGTCATCGTAGAACCTGATGCTTGAAATTGAAAGCGAAAGTGCCCAAACCAAAAGGCGCAATAACTCTACTTCATAAGTCAGCCAATAACCCCGTCGCATAATTCAAAGTATCTTCGAACAATTTTATCTACGAAGGCCAATTCTATCGCCTGAACTTTGCCAATTTCCCGCTTTGAAAACAACGAAATATTGCTGAAAAACGTTCAACTTCAAAAGGTCAATCCCACCGCCTATGGTACATTTCAAGATCTAAATATCTTCTACAGCAAAAAATCAACTCAAGAGGCCAATTACCCCGCCTAATTGTATAAAGAAATATCTTCTACAATTACGTTCTATAACAAAGGTCAATTCAACCGCCTGTATGACCAATTTCCCGTCCACAATTAAAAAATCTCTACATTGACATTCAACGAACTAAGAGATCGATACTTCTCTCCTACATAAGTCATCGCATTCAACGTCAACAACGATAAAAGTGAACTCGTACCATCGTAGTGAAACAGTTGTGAATACCACTTGGGAATACTTATTTTAACAAACGGATAGCTTGTATAAGCGAAAACTCCAAATATCAACGTCATCAACAAACACCCATATCTTCAAACCAGGTAGGATCAATCCTTTTTATTATCAAGCATGTATCGAAATACTAAAAAAGAAGATTTAATTAATGTCGTCAAGGAATTAGGATGAGTTGTTCCAGAAAATGCTACTATTATTTGTTTAAAAGAACTTATAGAAAAAACTGATACGTTCAAAAATGAACCACAATTTGTTAAGAACATGTTTTATTTAATCGTCGAAGGAAGAAAAGAAGCAGAACAATGGGCAAAAGAAAAAATCAAGTTAGCCCAAATCGAAAAAGAAATCCAATTAGCATCAATTAACTCCGGCTCAAATCAAAATAATTCCGAAAACACAAACGCGACAATTAGAACATTATCTTTAGATCTCGAAAGTCTAATTACATCAGTTAAAACACTTAGTATGCCGATTCCTAGTAAACCCAAAAATTTTAACCTATTCTTTAGAATGCGCACTTACAACCAAAAATTTTCCACCAGAATTCAAATCGGAAATATTAATAAATATTCTCGGTGAAAAAGCGAATAGTATTTTACTTTACATTTCGGAGAACGAACTCCAAGATTACGAAAAAGTTAAAAATATTATATTACGAGAATGTCAGCCAACGCCCCAGGAATGCTTAATCAATTTCCGAAGAGTTCAACTATTACCTAATGAATCACACATACAATTTTCGTCAATGTTGACAAGCGCTTTTGAATACTATTGTAAACTTCGTCAGTCACATCCACATCAGCTGATATGATGAAACCATGGGACAATTCCTAAAAACATTTTTATTACATAAACTGTGGACATAGCGTAGAAACTTTTTTTTTTCTTCAACTAAAACTGTGACTTTATAATTTTTTTTTCTATCTAGAACTATTGACTTTTTGTATTTTTCTCTTTCAGCTTTCTGCAGTTAACAGAACATTTGAACTTAAACATTTTGTTTTTCAGAATTTCAACTTGGTCGGGGACCAACCCCTCAGAATGGACGAGTGCTGCATAAGCCATGCAGCGCCATCTGCACCAAAGCAGACTCCCTCTGCACTCATTCACGGAACAGCAACGGGGCGGCAACTCTAAAAAGATGTTCCAGCTCTAATAATTTTGCATTGTCTTTTAAGTGTTTTTTCATATTAAAAGCTTTAAATGCAACCCTAGACTGCTTTGAAGCTTATCATCGACACTCCCCGTCCGTAACATATATATATATATATATATGTAAAATGTGGCAGTCGGAAAACAGACACAGGACTTTAATGAAACCAAATTCATTTTATTTGATCATTTTCAAATGGATGGCGAGCGAAAAGTGTCGTTTACTCTATCTTCGATCAGTCTTTCTGGTGGGGAAAATCTTGCAAAAAATCCGAAAATTTCTCTATTTAGGGAAAAGTGGGAAATCTTAAAAATTACTGTTGGTGTATTAAATAGGTCGCGCGATTCCCACAAAGAGTAAAGGGGGAAATGTATTTACTTTTAATTAATGCATACTTGAGCCAAAAATAGATTTAAGGACAGGAAGTGAATTTAAAAGTGTGAGAAAGCGTTTTGATTTGAATAATAAAAGAAAAGAAATTGCAGAAAAGGAATAACATAAAAAGATTAATTGAAGCTTTTTATGTTATACATATATGTATGTAATGTTATGCCTTTAAAGGCTAGATAATTGAAGAGACTTAGGCTACTACTTTTAAAAAGGCATTTATAACGTTATATGGAGTATGGAAAACAGTGTTCGTGGGATATTCACATTGATGGTTTCTCCATTTCAGGGATGTTTGGCTTTTAGCCCAGATTTATCTAGCCATGGAAATATGAAAAAGGACACGCATTTTTGGCTGTCCCGAGCTTTTAAAGGGAGGTTCTGAGAGGGAGTGGTTGCAAGGATCTTTTTATCCTCATGAAACGTCATTCAATTGATAAAATTTAGAGATTTTGATTCGCTAAAAGGATAGCGCCGTTCTGGTTCTGGGAAATTTTTGGGACTACCTTAATGCGTACTTTATCTACAAATTATTGCCCATTAACTTCAGAAAATAATCTTCTATCTGGCCTTATTTAGTTCATCTTGACTTTTTATGGCTCTTTGTGAAAGACCAACTTCTACATCTTAAACTTGATAAGAAACATATGTTTTAAGCTTATCAGTTAATATAGAAAGACTCTTTATTAGGAATTCTATATTACATGTATATGATCATTATGTTTTGATCAATATCAATAAGTTTTTTCACACAATAATCAATNGTGGGTATGTGTGTGTGTGTGTGTGTGTGTGTAATATATATATATATATGTTATTCTTATATGTAAATTTTCTGCAAAATATCATCATTTTTTTGCACACTGTACGCACGAGCACCTACAAGTCTGCTGATTACAAATAGAGGAATTTTTATCAAACTACAAAATTCCATGAATAATCGGGAGTTTACAGCATCATGCTAAAGTTTGTTTTAAATTATGAGAGTTTAATAACTTACGTTAGCTCCTTAATTGGCTGTCCCAATGATAGAGTAGGAAGAATAGTAGGCTTGTTAAATGAACGCTTCTTTTCTCTCATGTCTAGAGCTTCTTGAATTAGCTAAGTGTTTATAATTTAAAAACATAATTAGTTATTTTTTAATAAAAAAATTCAAACATCACACTTAAATTATGTAAATTGAAAAAAAAAAAAGATAAACTTATTATTTTCTAAAATAAAAAAAATCATAATAATTTTTTGTTCGGCGAGTATAACAAGACAAATTTATTCCGATGGTGTTATTTTGAACTGGTTATTTTGAAATGAATTAACAATTAAAAATGTTTTATCTGACTGTTGGTTAAGATTATTTTTGATATAAAATAATGTTAAAAATGAGTTAATCTAAAAAAGCCTGTTTGAAATAATTATTTTTTTTTATATGGAAATTATTAAATTGGTGCTTATGTAATATAACTAACATTATATTTTTTAAATGAAAATAATTATTATAAAGAGATTTTGTTTAGAGAGCTGCATTAAGATTGGACACTTCACAATCGGCAATTATTAAACACACCTTGGTAACAAACAGTTTAAGATGAAACATTCAGACTTATAAAATTAACTAATACATTGGAAACAGTTATAGAAAAGTGTTTAATTTAATTAAGGATATATAGCCTTTTTACAGATAAAGGCTGCAAAAAATGTTTAGTATCAAGCCACAAAGAATTTAGTTTCTATAATACTTGAAAATAACTACATTCACTTAAGTGTAATAAGGACATAAATTTTGCTTAAAAATTAAAAGGCAAAGAATATGTATAATATTTTTCATTAAAAAATTTAGATTTTATACTCTTAAGTCTTCTTTAATCTAATTAAATTATAGCAGGTTTTCAACTTTCTCAGTAGAAAAACTTATTTCATTATTTTTACTGTAAATAAATTAATAGTATCTTTAATTTATGTAATTCCTTTACCAATATGATTTAAATAATATAATTTGGCTAAAGAATATTCCTTTAAAAAAATCAAAATTCCATAAGACATTTTAACACCTTGAAATACTACTCACCATTTTGGAATTTTCCTTTAACATTTCCTGTGTTTTTTTGAAGCTCATTGAAATTAGTTTGAAAAACAGTTTTAAAATTTCTTACACTAGTTGCGGAGTTTTTACTAATGAATTTTTAGTTGTCATGCAGGGAGCACGCAATAATCGCCTAGCCAGGTTAATTTTATAATTTAGCTCCTTATTAAATAAAAGCTCAATTGGTTGAATAACAGGTGTATTGCAAACATAAAGCATTTTTTTTTTAAAAAAAGCAATTTTTTTTTCACAATGAAACTCAATAGTGCAGAACTAAATATAAAATAAATAAATACTGAGCTTAGAATTAATATGTATAAATAAATATACACACTTTTTGACCTTCTTCTTTATCGTATTCTATGTAATGAATGGAGGAATCACTGTAATAAAAAAAAATAATAAAAGAAAATTATCAGATTGCATAAGAGACAGGTAAGGAAACAAATTCTATGTGTAACTTACATAAATGGCTGAACTGATTTGAATATTTTATGAAATTTATTGCTTCTAGTTTATAAAACTTATGCAGGAAGATAGTGATGTTAAGCTTTATTTTGTTAATCCAATAACTAAGAGGGAAAGAAAGTGGAAAATTTGCAAATATAAAAAGTCTTCTAAAAAATAATTTCTTTACAGCTAGGTACTTATTTATTAATTGTGGCATAGAAACAAATTGTCATAATTTATTATTATCTGAGTAAAAAAAGAAGATAGCACTAAGAGTAGATTCAATAGATCAATTACTATTGCATAAACAGCGATAAGAACTAAAATTAAATTATCAAAAATATACTGATTCTGAGATTTGTTGTTAAAGAAGGTTTTACAATAAAAGTATGCAACACTTTTCTTCGAAAAAAGTTTAATTCAATGACACTAATTTGTAATTTAAACAAATACTTAAAACCCCCGCACACTGCAAATTTATTTTGCCACTACAGACAAAAATATTGCTATGGATTTCCGCATAGTTGTCTAAAATCACACATTTCCAATACAATGTTATTATGGCATGCAAAATTTTTAAAATGCAAGAATCACAGTGATATGGTTTTTAACTTAAAACTTCAATACCTTTTTTTTTGCTGTAATACAAGGGTTTAAATCCAAGAAAAATTATGTAATCAAACTTTCAAATCAAGAGTAATTAATAAAAATAGCCATTATTAATGCTGTTGCCAATTAAATTCCTAAGATCAAGAAATATTTATTTTCTATTATATTTTACTACTTTTAAACATTGTGATACAATGGGAAGTTTTTAATCTAATACTTAAACAAATCCCTTATTTTAAACAAATAATTAAAAAAAATTAAAGTATAAAAGAAAATTTAAAAAAAATCTAACAAAACAACTCAAAATCAGATAATACTAATAATTTTTTTTGCTTATTTATTTTATTTTAAAAATTCTTAATCGAGCATTTATGAATCAGAATATTTGATTTGAAACTAAACACAGTTGCAAGCCTACTTGAATTGCTACTTGAGGCAAATTAAGAAGATTATACTTAACAATATATAATTTTAATTTTATTACCATATTTATATAAATGAATACAATTGTGTCGTGTAGCTTTAAATTAGTCAAGTCTTAATTTTTTAATAATAATGTTCACCATATCACATCATTTAATGAGTCTTTCTACTTAATTCATATATTATAACAAGTTAATATATTGTTTAAAATATACTGTAAAATTTTTTATTAACTTACCAATTATTAAAATAACTCCCGCAGAATGATTTTAAGCTGGGATCTTCTTTATATATTTCATCCTTAAAAGCCAGTCCTTTTAAATAATAACATTCTCTCTCTAAAGCTTTTGCAATATAAAATAAACAACCTAAAATAGATTCATGTTTAAGATTTATCAATAAAAAATACAAATAATAACATATAATCCAAAAATTAATTTAATTAAAATTTCAAAAAAAATAATAATTTTTATGAAATTAAAAATTTTCAAATTTAAGTTCACCATTAAAAAACTGAAGTTAAAAATTAAAATTAGTGAAAATAAATGAATTGCTGTACTTGATACTCTATTTATAATTTAGAATGTTTACAAGAATCTTTTTCTCATCAGTTTTTCAAGAAAAATCATACTTATAGCTGCTGTGTCCTTACATTAGATCAAAGGAAAATAAATTTAAAAATAGCTACAAAATTTTACAAACTATTGCAACCAATAACATCTCATGTTACAAAAAACCTCATTCATCACTATATAATATTTTATTCAAAAGTTGAAAGTTAGAAATCAAAGATAAATCATTTTATTTGAAATTAATTAAATACTTAGTTAAAAAAGAAATTGAAAAGAAGAAAAAGAAAGACAGTGAATGTTTAAAACAACCCCTTATAATCAAACACTGTATAAAAATGTCTCTTTAGATTCATACAAGTTAAAAATTAAATAAATAAATATATAAAACTATGCATTACCAGTATTAACTTTATATATTTCTTAATTTTATCTATTTGCTTCCAGTTAAAAAACAGGCAACAATTTTCAAAAATACAAACTCGAGGGAGGAAAAAATTACAACATGTTTGCTGGGCTTTTGGAGGCTGCATGAGTGTAAAAAAAAAAAAACGTGTGACAGTGTGTAAAAAAAATTCAATTTTGTGAGTGTAAAAAAAAAAATTCAGAAGAACAATTTTCTTTATTATCATTTAAAATTTCTGAAATTTATTTATAATACAAAGATGAACTGAAAAATTTGAGCAAGCCAAGAATTAACATAGATTTATAAGAGAAATTTGTTCAGAGATGAGACTTTTTGAAATGTGAGAAATTTCGAAACAAGTAGAGTTTCATCGAAATGCAGATTAATTTTTCGCAATGCGATTTTATTTTTATCTATTTTTATTCTAAAATAATTAAAATATGGGAAACAGTGTCTTTAAAATAATTATTATTAAAACAGTATTTCAAGAAACAAAATGATGTTTTTTTTAATATTAACTTTCCGTTTCATATTATTGTCTTAGCTTTTAACAATAAAAAATGCTAATACTTTATTAGACCCTATACATTATGGCACGCTATACAGTTTTGAACATCAACTCTTAAAATTATTTAAGCTAAAAGTTGTATTTTAGATATTTAGAGTTGCTCATCAATGAGTTACAAATTAAATGGAATTTATCATGGCTGATAAAAGTAGAATTATAAATTAAATTCTTCTGAACATCTAAAAAAATGAATAACATAATTTTAAATATTGGGTATCCTAAAAATGGCTGATAACTTGAAAATTCAATAAAAGAAAATTGGAAGAAATAAAAATGTCTGATTTGCTGCATTCTTCTTAGAAAACCTAAAAATTTCTCTTAGAAAATCTTTAAATTAGTTGCAAAGTTCATTTACAGATGGTACTGCCAACTGAGAAAAACCATACAACAATGTTTACAAAACTATTACAGCAACAATGTGGTGCAGTCTACATTAACAAAAATTACAGAAGCCTGTGAAAATACTTCAGTTTGTATGTTTCTACATGCAGTAAACAACATTGTTTGATAGTTTTGCCAGCCAGAAGCCCCATCTATTAAAAATTAAAAAACCTTAGTAAATAACTTTAAAATTTAGTGATAACCATTTCCTAGTTTCCTTAGCAGTACGCAGCAAATTGTACATTTCTATCTCCTTCCATTTTTCTTCAGTTGATTTTTCAGACATCCAATAATAAATTCTATATCTTACCTGCATAGTCATTAAGAGCATACATAACAGTTATAACTTTATCCATTGATGGCCAATGATTAGGATTGCTTTTTAATCCCTGAAATTAAAACATTTGTATTGTAATTATGTCTCATATTAAGTCACATAAAAATCAGATAACGAAAAACTTCTTGCCTCTTCAAAACATAGCCTGGCTAAGGGGAAGTTTGATATGTTTATAGCAGCGTTTCCCATTCGAAACCACATAATGACATCAGTACCATCGATCTCAAGAGCCTTAAGGAGACAGAAAATAAAACATTGGCCTTACAAAATATGTTTATATTAATAAAAAATATTTTCCAAAAAATAAATCTGATATAATCATTACATTTCTAACCAATTTTGTGGTTGGTTATGTGTAAAGTTTAATGGTACAAGAACAAAGTAGCCACTAAATTCTTTCAAAATTAAGCATGCAAAGTTGTGCACAAAAATTTTTTACACAAAAATACCTTGTGAATATTTTTTCCTTCAAATTTATAAAAAATACACTATAATTAAAAAAACTATTAAAATTTATCTATAAGTTTCGATATTAAGTATCGACCATAAATTAGGGCAAGACATAACTAAAATTTGTCATACATTTCATTCCTCTTCCATCAAATATTTATATAATTTTAGATATCATATATCTAAGTTTAATGAACGAAAATTTCAATTTTTGAAATGAAAATTACAAGATAAAAAATAGGTTAATCTTGTAGATTTAATTTTAATCTGTCAAACTATTGGATTACCTTTTATATCACAAACATTATTTCAAATTTCTATAACCTCAATACGATTTAATTTTTGAAACCTGAAAACAATGCACATGTTTGCTTGAAATCAGTCTAGAATACTACAGCAAGTAATACTACAATAAGACTAGAATAAGTACAGTAGCAGAGCAATTTCTCTTCAGAATTTCTTTGAATTTTTAAAAATTGTAAATAACAGTGTTCAGGTAAAGTTGTTTTATTTAATTTTTTAAAAAAATTAGGCAAGTATTTAAAAAAAATGGGCGCTACTCTTAAAAATGTTCCCAGCTGCACACACATGCATCTTAGAGAATATGTTCCACAAAAGCTAGAAGTTTTTATACAGCAAAAAACATAAACATGGGAGATATTTCTATATAGTATGGGGGTTTATCTGTATAGGGATCTGTCGAGCAAACTACAATTGCCAAAGTGCTAAATGAATTTTAAAGCTGCAATTTTCAAAAATAAAAGACATGTTGAGGTGTGCCTCAGTATGACTTTGGGATACACCCTTTAAGTTTGCCCTATTCCCTGATCGGTTTATTTTTAGTTTCTTGGAGTCACTGCACAAAGACATCAAAATTTGGCAATTATTTTTATTCAGATTACGAGATATGGAAATATTTCCATATGCAATGTTATAAACTAAATAAATCATAAAAATAAATGTGACAAAATAAACGAAAGACAGATCAAAGTGATACGCAAGGTGAAGAATATATGATGGTGGGGAAAAGGCAAACGTTCATAGACCTCCATTTAAAACTGTTATAGAAATGACCTATTACCCCCTCAAGGTCTAAGGTTTCTGGGGGGAAAACTTCTCTCATTAAAAAGACATTTGCTTTTGCCCGCTTATAAAAAACAACTTTGTAGATTTATGTGGTTTTACATTAGGTTAGTATTTACTAAATAACTAAAATATTTGCAAGCAATAAATTCTTAATTAAAAATTTAGATAACTTGATCAGTATTTCTAACTTTTTCTTTCAACCTGAACTTAAATAAAAAAAACATAATTTAAACAGCATTTATGAACACAATTTATTTAACCTTCCCAAACCTAACTGCATAATAGAAAGTGTGAGGAAATTAGCTGCTCAAGTTAGGTAAGCTGATGATGATGTGTGTGTGTGGACACCTGCAGTTACTCTTGTTATATAAGAAGACTTAGCTGGCCTTTATGCTGTTAGGTTTGGGAGAAGCTTAACTTCCTACATTTACTTTTTAATAAAGATCTCATTTTTATTGATTAAAGGTACTCATTTTTTTAAAATCTAATTAACCATAACTTTCTTAAAGGGATTAATTCTTTAAGCATCACATACAAAACTATAAAAATACCAAAACAAATAATTGAGAAATAAATTACTGGTCAAAAAAAGTTAAACCAAAAGTAGGCAAAAGCATTATTAAGCCAAGTCTTAATAAGAAAAGTCCGTCTTGGAGACAAGAGCATGAAAAAAAATTTAACATCTGGAAAAGAAATAAGAATCACTAAGAAGTAACAAAATTTACTGAATGAGAAAAATAATTTACCTCTAGAAAATACTCCACAGCAGACTTAAAATCCTTTTTGTCATTTGAAATTGTAGCAAGATTTTTATATAAAAGGTACTTTAAAGTTAAAGCAGGCCGTAAAGGTAATTCTTCTTTTTCTTCATTTGGCTGAACCTAGAGCATTATTAAAAGAAAAATATAAATTAACATAACACAAACAATTTATTTAAGATAAAAATATGATAGCCTTATTGATATCGAAAGCTATTCCAGCCCCTAAAGAAGATAGGTGTTCAAGCTTAGACACAAGGAAAAGTTTTAGGGTCACTATAAGTTAAACATAAATAGTTTTAATCATTTAAACAGTTTCTACCATTTAAAATAGCAAGTTTCACATCCATGAACTACTGCACTCTAAAATGGTACATGGGAAATATGTTCTAAATGGTTCAGAAACTGTCTTTCGACGATGATGCTGTCTGTAAATGAATCTTTGCAGGTAAAAAAATGACTATAGAGTTTTGATATTGCAAACATGTACCTTAAACAATGGTACAGTTCAATTAACTACATTCATGAACCAAAGATGTGGTGGGAAATTATAAAATAAAGTTTTATAACACAGGATGTGAAAAGAGTGGATTTACAGTATCATTAGCAATGATGACATCGGGCCAGAAATTCCCTGCATTTATTATCCTTAAGGAATCGACCAGCCACATCAGAATACATGTAAGCCAGGATTTAAGAATTCCGTCAAACATTTGAATTACCTGCTCCATCAACAGATGAATGACAAGCATATTGATCGAATCTTGGATAGATAAGATTTGGGGTAGTAATCAAGATGATGTGCTAAGATTGCTGTTTTTCGACAGGGTAGTGACCCATAGGAGTCCACCTATTTTAGAAAGGATAAATAAACCTGGACACGGATGTAGCCCTCATTCCAGTAGATTACACAAGCCCCTAGTAACCTGTTGATGTGTCTTGGATGTTCAAGAGCACATTTAGAAGGGAATAGTGCATAATTATTCGTCAAAAGCTAACCCGGCAGGATGTTATAGGTTTAGTTTTAGCCAATCGGGAGGCAGTTTCAGAAGAAACTATCGCTAATTCACTAAAGAAATGTGGGATCTAAAACGAATTAGATGGAAGCAATGATGGATTGTCCCATTCTCGCTTAGATGAGATTGATGTGCCATTGGCAAAAACAGCTGATATTAATTAAAGAATATATAGAACACCTTTTTGATAACTTAGATGCATCATTTGAAGGATTTCCTAATTACGACTAGAAATGGATGTAAATAAATAAACTTTAATTAAATCTTACATTATTTGGGTTTTCTTTAAAAAATAATTTTTACTTTCTTGCTGGCTGGTTTTGAAGATGCGGTCGTAATAATTTGAAAAAAAAAGGGAAAAAAGACTAAATGTGAAAGGTAAGTTTTTAAAAATACAATTCATTAACTACTATTGATGCTGTATTTCTTTCTTCTTTTTTTAATTGCTTTTTTCTTTTGCTACAGTTTATCCCCCCACTTCGCATCGATTTTTATCAAGATTTAAGTGAGATTTTAATCAATATTTTAAAATGCCACTTTTCTGCAAACATATATATATATATATATATATATATATATATTAACCTTTTTTAAAACTAAAACATAGTTGACTTCCATGAAATTAACAATAAAAAGAAACTATAAACTAATATATCATTTCTAAAACAACAATTACGTTGAATTGCTATTTGTCGTGGTCGGTAAAAATGTTGCTAACTATAAAAACTAAAATCTATACATCAAATGCTGCTACTATTAAAAATAAATTTCTTCGATGACCGTACAAGTTTGCACAAGCTGTTACACTGCTTAACAGCAAAAATATGAAATAAACCCTTTATTTAAGGAATTAGTTTTCTTTCCATAGGGCAATTTGTAGAACATAAAAATGCAAGACAATGTGATAACAATTGCTTATCGACTAACTTCAGCAACTTAAGTCAAGAAAATTTTTAATGCATTCAAACAACTAAGTATAACTACGGCCTAAATGTTTAAATCATAAAAATCAAAATCAAATAAAAATTCATTGGAAATGTATACAATCTTCATTGCACCTTGTATAAAAATTGTTCTGAAAGGTTAAGAATGTATTTAATTTTGACTCACACATTAATTTTTTAATTCACACTGCAACATATCTCAGCAGTATCTTATCTTTGTATGAGCACGTACTACTTAAGGATAGGGAAGTATAGCAAGTAAAAGTTTAAATGTAAGCTCACAAAGCATTTGTTTAAATTAGATTTGCTAATAACCTACTAGTACATTAGAATTTCAACTAATTTAATACTTTTACAATTCATCAAAAATTTGAAGCCTCAATAAACAACCTGAGTTAAAAAATCCATTTCCAATATTTCTTTAAACAATTTTTCAGCATCTTCTATGTCACCATCACTTTGTTTTTTGAGGGCCTGGTGATATAACAAATAAGCTTCTTCTTCCTAAAAAATATATATATAATTTATAAAAACAATTTCCTTAAACACAAAGAGGAAAAAGAATGTATATTACTTTGGATAAATGCAATTTTATGTATAGCACACATAAGCGCATTAATTTTATACCTGAGCTTCTCTCGTAGCTAATTCGGGATCTCCATCATCCTCCGACAGAGAAGCCTCATTTAGTGCACAAAATTTCATCTGTAAGGAATAAATTTCACTAGTTATTAAAATGTTATTTAAATAAATACATTATTAAACCAACTTAAAACATAAAATGGTTTACATAGAAATAGAAAAAGCATGAGTAAGTTAGAAATTTTAATAAAAGTATAGACGAGATACAAGTCATTTAAAAAATAGGAAAGATTTTTGAAATATTGTACCTTCTCCAAAACAATCACCAAATTTTGGTGACTTCTGAGCAAAGTTCAGTGAAAAACTAAAAAAAAGGATCATAAAAAAGGTGCAAACTTGAAAAGTAAAAACATGTAACCATCCTCGTGCAAGTCCTAATATATTTTTTAAATTTATCCCCAAGTTAAACAGCATGTTAATTTCATTACGAAGCTTTGGGGATTTTAATTGGCACAAACAGACATTGAAGTAGAAATTTCTGCCAGCAGCGGTACATATTTTAGTAAAATTTGATTTGATTTTGTTTAAATCTCAAAATTAGACAATTTTTAGGCTGCGAACATCTAAAAGATTGCTATTAGATCGCAAAACTATTAAAATTTTGAATTTAGAAACGTAAGAAAAACAACAATTCAGGAATTATATTAATACTAAATATATTTAAGATTTAAATTTTATAAGTTATATGTATTTTGTTCATATATATTTTGAAGAAATGCTAGAAACTGCTAACTAAATCAGGTTAAATTGAATAATAGAAAATGATTTCAGAAACATTAATCGTAATTTTTCCCCCATATAATAACACAGGTTACATCTTGTATTTAAGGATTCATCCAGGTAAAAGAAAAAACTTCACAAAATTTTACTTCATAAAAATAATCAAACAAAATTGTTCTTCAGTGGAATCATAAAAATAAAAAATCTGAAAATGTGATTTTACGACAGCATTGTCTCAAATAGAAGATGCAATGCTCAGGTTTGAATCTCGTAATAACATCGAATCAAAACTGTCAGAATTTGAAAAACCATGTGGAAAGGACAACAAAAATGATAAATAATATACAAAACAAATATCGCCCAAACAACTTGAAATTTTTTAATGGGATGACAATTTTACAAACTGAATTAGTCAAAAGTGATAACTCACAATCTAAATTTGCATGTCGTTTTAATGCATTAAATGTGTTGGGATTAATTTGAAAACCTTAAAGAAGTTGCCAAAAAAACAATGGGAAAAACAAGTGGATATTTACAAGAAAAATTGTGATTGTAAAAACTGAGGGGATATCTCTACATCGTGATCTGCCAGACGAACTACAATCGGCAAGGTGCCAAATTGATTTTAAACAGGAAAATTTAAAAAAAAAAAAAAAACATATAAAGATTTGCTGGAGGTAGCTACAAGTTATGCTGTTCGAGTTGATCCCTTTCTGTGATGATTTTTTAGTTTCTGCTGGCCGAAAGTTGTCAAGACTTAGTGATTATTCAGCTACAGATTTCAGAAATCTTCCCAAAATTAAATGATTTTTATTAAAAAAAATTCACTAATTTTTTTTTTTTTTTTTTAATTTTATTATTTGTTCACAAAAATCAGACCCAAATAATAAAACCTGGATCGATCCCTACCACTTTAAAGAACAGATTTTTAATTTAAAAAATTTTGAGAACTCAGAACTGGTACGCCAAACATAGCACAGGTCCGAGAACGTGCATACCGGCTGAGTCCCATCAATGTCTAAAAGGATGCTGTATAAAATACAAGTAATACATTTTAAAGTATTAGATTTGAATGTAAATAAAAAAGAAAGTTTTAAACTCATCGAATTTAATATAAAAAATTGTTGTATACATACCATTTCGACTATTAATATGTTACAAATTAAAATTATAAAAAATGGAAAAAGTTTAAAATAATATTTTCAATGTGCTTGAATTTAAGTTTAACATAACTTTTTATTTTCTCCTGGAGCATTTTAGAAGAAAATTTTGTACATTAATAGTCAATAACTCTGATACTGAATTTAATAATAGAATTTAGTGTCTTTTTTAGCGTTATTATATGATTTTGAAGGTTTTGAAGCTTCTGCTGTGTTTGGATTGCTATTGTTGCCAGAAACCAAGAAAAAAGATATAAACAAAAAAATTTACTGGCTTAAATCTCTATTGCGTCCCGCAGTGAACTGATTGTTAAGACACGGTTCCCAGCAGATCGCCGAAGTCAAACATCACTGGCTGCGGTCAGTGTGCGGGTGGGTGACCACTTGGATCAGTCTGCGCAGGGACCGAGGGTGTGCGGTATTGGTCCTCGTTAAACTGTGCTACCGTAAAGTGTTCGACTTCGCTCGCAGGTCGTCGGGCTACCGAAGAGGGGCAGCCATCCCCTCAGGAGAGGATCAAAATTGTGATGGCATGTCTTCGGATCATCCTCCGGCGGGATGTTTCCCAGACCGTCGCCAATAGCCCATTGTGCAGCTCTAGTGCGACGTAAATTAACAACAACAACAAACCTCTATTGCTTAAAAATAAAAAATAGTAATAAGCTAAAAAAAAATAATAAACCAATACAGAGAGATATTATGATAATGGGTGTGGAAAAACATCCTGTTAAATTTATTTGTGAATTATTTAATCTAAATTTGAATGTTGTAGTTAATTTAATCTAAATTTGAATTTCATTTAGTTGAATTAACTTAAGGAGCACTCTCGCTAAGGAGCACTCAGCTCGTTCGAAGGCTGCGAGGTTTGAGCTCCAAAAACCGGTTGCCTCCGTTGCCTAGTGTCATCAGCACTATACGGAGAAAATTGTAGCCAGTGAAAATGGTCCTTTTGGAATGTAACTTTTGACTTTTTTAACTGTGCAACTTTTAACCGCGAAATAAACAAAAACTGCTGTAAAGCAATTTTTTTTCAAACCTAATAAGTTCAGCTAACAGTTCTTACAGCTAACAATTTCATTTCTTCATTCATTGATTAAATCGTCGAATATTTATAAAGTGAACATATAGTAGAACCATGGCAGAAATAATTTATCCACCAAATATTCCTCCTGGACATATATTCGTTAATGATAAATGGAAAGACACAGACTTACTTAGATCATTAAAAAGTACGTAATATATATATATATATATATATATATATAATGTATTTTAATGCTGTTATCATTGTGTACTTCAAAATGCTTTCATGAATTTCAAATTAAGCTACTAAATAGTTTGAAATAACATATCTTGGTAATACTTAATACGCCAAACCTAGGGACTCTGACTCTATAACTTACCACATATTATATATATATTTTTTTCTTTCATTGACTAACTGTGGTAAGATTTTAGTCTAAAAAGCTTTAAAATTTAGGTAGCTCGCTGAATTGAAATTGTTACTTTTTGGTTCGCTGGACGCAAGTGAAAAGTCCTCAAAAAATGTAAGCTTTTGCTAACTATTTTTTTTTTTTAAATTTTATTTATTATTTTAATCACTTAAGATTTAAGTAAAATATTCTGGGTATATATACTTTAAAATTTATATTAAAAGTAAAATATACTTTAAAATTTCTGGGGGTATTTCATTAGGGTGATCTGATGTGCTAACTACAATTGCCAATGTGCCAAATGGATTACAAACTTGCAACTAAAAAAAAAAGAACATAAAGAGGTTTGCTCAGAGGTGGCTGCCAATTATACCTTGAAGTTGCTAAGGCTTGGTGATTATTCTGCCACAGAATATGAAAATCTTCCCAGCTATCCCACTAAATCCTCATCTTTGGAAGATTTACTAATTAGTGTATTTGTACCAAATTAATCTTCAAGTTCTTATGATTTCTGGGCAGTGGCACATGAAAATCCCTCACAGACTGGGGAAACTTTGAAAAATAAAACTCAGAGAGCAACCAGATAAAATGACATTGTTCTTAATTCATTTTATTTGATGGTTTATTTTATTGCCAGAATAGAGAGCAATCTATAAGACATAAAAGTTTCATTGGGATATTTTGTATTGGTACCTGTTTATGCCACCAAAGGGTTTTCTTTTCCTTGCAAACAATTTTAAAAAGTACTTAGTGGTATACCTGAAGTTGACTATTGGGAGATATTTCCATGTCTTGATCTGTTGTTCCAACTACAATTGCTGAGGAGTCTAATGGGTTTTAAACTTCAAAAATTAGGAAAAGATTTGACTGTGTATAGGATACTAGTGATTCCTTTCGAGTTAATGATGGTTTTGACAACAAAATTTTTTTTAAGAAAAGGTTTCTTGCGTGCCACTGCCTGACTGTTGCTGAAACTTGGTGACTTTTTTGGACAAGCACCAGTACAGAAATCTTAATTTTTTGTAATATTCTAATTATTTCTTTTAACCTTTATTCTGTTTTATGTAAATTCATTTCCCTCGCAAAATCTAGTGTAAGGGTTCTAAAAATTAGTTTCTTTTAGTATTAGTTGGAATTTTAAAAAAAATTATTTAATAGCTAAGTTTAATTAATAAACTTAAATTAATTCTTATATTTTTTAGAGGCGGAAAAAATATGTTAAAATTTTAAGATTTCCGATGGAGTTCTTTTTTTTATTTTAATACTTTTATTTGTTTGAAGTTAATTCTGCCTCTGAAACAAGCTATGTTTTTAAATTCTTTTTTCCATAATATATTTTTTTCTTGCAAAAGTTTTATCTAATATTTAATTTGCTCTATTTATGCAGGACGTGCACAAATTGTGATTGTGGATTCTATGGACTTCGTAGATTTTTATCCTGCTACGGAATTTGGAGTTATATTTGTAACAGAAGCTGATTTAGTGGCTGAAACCAACTACAAAAGAAATTTAGCTAAATTAAAAAAGGTAAATAACAAAATACAGTAACCAATACTAATAAAATAACTGGTTTATGAAATCAGGCTCTTTTTAAAATAAACTCTGCAAGAATGGAATCATTACAATATCAAAACATGAAAAAAACCATCCTTTTATAAAATCATGATCACCGTTTTGTAAAATTAAATTTTTGTGGGACATATGTTTAAAATATTTGAAAACTCTGATCTTTCTATTTTATCCAGTTTTGAAAGTGTATACAATATGATAAATTCAATAAAATTTTCATACAATAACAAATTTCATTGGGCCTTCAACAAAAAAACAAAAAGAGCAAAACTAAAAAAAAAACCATGAAAAAGGGAATGTTAAAAAATCCAAGTGAAAAAAATATACAGTTTACAAATGAAGAAAAGTTGTTGTATATATCCAGCATCCTGAAAATTTTGATTTATATACATTTCGGTACTATTCTGTTTCAGGAGGCCATAAAAAAAACTTTTCGATAATTAATTCACTGGTTTTAATAATAGTTTTGCAATTTTTTATGCCCCCTGACACCTAAATTTCTTTCCATTTTCAGACAGACATAATATTTCATTTTATTTATAAGCATTTTAGTAATACTTAGAAATTACTTTTGGAATTTGTTCCCATACATAATTCTAAATTTCAATGTTTCTTGAAGTTTTAATTCAATCAATTCTATTATTTATTAACTCCCTAAAAATAATGAAAAAGATAGCTAAAAATATTAAAACAACATTTGATTTTAAATTGATTAAAAGATTTTAACATCAGTATTTCAATTTGTCTTTTCATTTAATTGTTATATTTTAATGTTATGAGTAAGCTGTTTAACAATAGCTTGTGAATGCAATTTTTTTTTATTAAGGCTAATTTTGATAGAAGTGCTGTGCTTGTAGAAAAAACAGCTATTAGTGGTCAATATTTCTACAATATGCAGAAGTTTACTGTCTTAGAATTAGGCTTAGGAATTATTCCAGTGACAGGAATAGAAGAATGTACTCAAGTCCTTATTTCCATGGTAATATAAATTTTTGCACAAGATTAAATTTCTATTTCTTATTCTTTATTTATTAGATTATTTTACCATTAATATATATTTTAAGGTTAAATAATATCTTTGGTAAACTTAATTTCCAGGATATTGCAAGAGAATTGTTGAAAAATTGATACACTTTGTACAATTTGTATTACAGGCCCAATTTTTGAGGGGAATGAAATTATATTTCACAGTCATAATATCTCACTAAATTTCAAATATAAGAAAAAAATTCTCAGATGTGCTAAATACTTGCAAAAAAATGTATTATTTTTATTTATTTCTTATTTTTTAATCGAAAGAATTTAAATTGATGATAATTCACAAAAAATATTGAGAGGTACTTTTAGAGATTTCTAATTATTGAGAGGGATGTTTACCTACCATCCCTTCTTGCCAAAAATGGAAATGATCTGTTATTTTAAGGTTTTAAAGCTAAATATTTTAATAAGAGGTCATTTTTGGTGGAGGTGATTGCCATTTTTATGGTAGTATAGGAAAATTCATCTGGGATTTTACTTGGCCGTACGAAAATACATCTAAAATTATGGTTGTGGTAAGATGATCATCTCCAGGAAATTAATATAAATCGTTTAGTGAAAATTTGATTTATTAAGCAGATTTGGTATGATGGATAATGGCCATATTCACATACAAAAAAAGAAATCCCCTAAAGGGATCAAATCAGATAATCTCACATCGAGAGTTTATACAACCAAAATATCATTTCTGACGGTTAGAAATTGAGACTGGGGAGGTCCGAAAAGGTCTCTCCCAGTCTCCACAAATTTGAAATTAAAAGTGGATACAAGTGTTCCTAACAAACACAGGAGAAGCATGGGTAGGAGATCCAAAGTTGGCGATTTATTGAAATATAACACAGCCAAAACAAAGCCAACCCCGCATATCAATATTGGGTTTAAAAAATGCCTTGGCGATCACGAGTCGCCAGCAAAATTTATGGGAATTATTACAACCATGCAACTAAAACATTTTGTAGTTAGAAATTTAAAATAAAAAGTTAAAAATAGATTTTTGTTTTCGATTAGGCGCGACAGTGAATTAATAAGTCTGCATTAGTAATGAAATAAAAAGTATCTGTTACATTGATCGATAAAAAAATTAATATTTTCTGTTCATTTAAAAAGATTGGGTCCTTGATTTATTTTATTAATAAAATAAGCTTAAGTAATCAAAGATATTTTAAAGGATAGGAAAAAAATATGTACTAATGCCAATTGTGGCATCACATTATTTAAGATTTTTAATAAATAAAAAATTTATTAAATCATCTTCACTGAACAATTTATTTATTTGGAAGAAATGTGTTCACATAATTTTCTATATTATGACCCTTTACCTAAAAAAAAAAAAAAAATATTTTTATGAAAAGAAGTATTTTTCTCAAATTTTTATATACAAATTTAGTTATGAATTGAACTTTATTTACATGTTCTGATGCACCCTGTTTAATATACACTCAATACTAAAATTATTTACAACTCTAATAATCATTTCTCAGGCAACAATTTTATGTTTTCTTATTGTATTATGAGAAATTTAACTCTTATAACCTTTGTAATAAATATATTTAATGGTATTAAAGCTTATAAAATTATGCAATTATTAAGTTTAATTGAATCATTAGGTTAAAAAAAAAATGTATGCCCTCAAAGATTGTTTTTACTGAACTTTAAATTTATGTTACATTAAATTTTCAAGTTAAAATGTTAGAAATACTGATTATATTAAACGTTTACATAACAAAAAAATGCTAATTATAGGAACAAAAGAAAAATTTTTTATTTCAATTATATGAACATCAAATAATAATAATTGCACAATGTGTATTAAGATTTCATAGAAGAGTATGTTTGAAGATCCCTTGAGAAGATATTAGCTCCCCTATTGAACTGAAATAATAAGGAAAATTGTAGATATAAAAGTTAAAAATTATGTCTTTTTCTCAACATAATTATTTCAAAGTTTCAATAAGAAGTGGATTAGCTATTTCATTTTTAAAAAAATAAAATAAAATCTTAAATGCAAATTATAAACAACTATGTATTTTAAGATTACTCAAGGGAAATTCGCTACATTTCAATAACAAAATTTTGATACACCTTAGAACCTGTTTTGCTATATTTATAATATTGCCAACAATAATTCATAATTAACTCAATAAACTACAATTACTGCTTTAAAGTTATTATTATTAATTACATATTTACTTCATTGTACTTTTTTTTTTACTTTATTGGACTTTACTATAGTTGATTAAATTTTTTTTACTTCATTGTTCTTTATTTTACTTCGTTTCACTCTTCTTTACTTTATTTCTTTGTACTTTTCTTTACTTTTATGAAACTTCAATTATTTATAGGTACGAATGGGAAGTGAAGATAAAACTATATTCAGAATGAAGGGGAGAGTTCCTCCTTTAGAAACGTATCTCCTGAAGACACTTTTAGCAGTTCCATCTTTGGGAGAAACAAAATCACAAGCAATCCTCTTAAAATTCAAAAGTATTATTTTATATTCTTTATTTGATGGTTATTGATACAGTACAGTTCACAGTGATACAGTAAAAGTCTGGCTATCCGAAATTTGACTAACCCAAAAAATTAAGGTACTGAAATTTTTAGAAATGTATAGTTTTTTCCTTCTATAGATGATTTAGAATGTTAAAAAATAAACAGTAAAATACCGATCAATTCTCAATAAACTCCTTTAATTTTGCTCAATTAATAAACTCAGTTTTTTTTAAATTTATTGCAACAATGAAATTGTACCCTGCTTCAAAACCAGTTTTTTAAAGATACGAGAAAAAAATTTAAAAAAACGCACAGGGTAATGCAATATATATATGTGTGTGAGAAAAAAATTTTTTTTGATCATTTATATAAATATTAATAATTTTTAATAATAAGTCAAATTATAATAGTTTATGAGTATTTCTATTTTTAAATAGCTTATTGATTTTCACTGGCTTCTCTTTTCTTTAGTGTTTTCATTTTCAAAAATTATTATGAGTGTAGTTGCTATTTTTTATTAGATCATTATCATTTCTTGTTACATTACATTTTAGAATAAAATTTATGTTTTTAAATGCGGCTTCCCCTCACTAGTTGAATATTTAAATTTCATGGGAAAAATTCTTCTTCTTCTTTATAAGCGCAACAGCCTTTCACAGGCCAAGGCTGACTCGCAGATTTTCCTCCATCTGGCCCTGTCCGGTGCGACGGCCCGCCATCGGTTGACTCCCAATAGCTTGAGGTCCTTTTCAACGTCGTCTATCCATCTTGTAGGTGGTCGTCCCCTACGTCTCGTCCCTTCAATTGTGGAAAAAGTCACTTTTTTGGCAGGGACGGCATCAGAATTTCTGAAGAGGTGGCCCGGCCACCGAATTTGTCGTATTATGGAAAACATTGGCTATCAATAATAAAGTAAACTTAGTTCTTTACATCAATGTAATAATCAGGGTTTGTTGATTTAAATCATGATTTAAATCAAATGATTTTTTTTAAAAAATCATTGATTTAAATCAACTAACTTTTTTGATATATATTGATTATAAAAGTTAAAAAACAGTGTTTTAAATTATTGATACTTTTATTATTTTCTTTTCTTAGTTTCAAAATTTATTTTAAATAAATTGTTGCATTAATTAATTTTAGTTAACGAAATTACTTTCTTTCTTGGAGTGTGTTAAATTCCAACGCATTGAAAATTACATTATTAAAAATCTTTTGATTCTTGAGATAGAAAGTACAGATTAAAGTAAACATTTAATGCTGTCTTAATATAGACTTGCATAGCTGTAGAAAGTAATTATCAAACATGAATTTTTTCAAAAAATAATGTAAATATTGTTAATTAAAATTCTACCCTTTGAAAGAAAAAGCATGGAATTAAAATCTACATTATATTTTATTGGTGGAAAATGTATATTTCTGAAGCTTTTTTAAAAGCATATTAAAAAGAAAATACCTAATTTGCCAAAAATAGATTGAAAAAAAAAGGCCAATAAATTCAGATATTTTTTTCCTGATATAGTGTCATTCTTCCCTTTCAAACTCTTTCAAAGTCTATTTGAAGCAGTAGGGTTATTAACTGGTATTTTTTCTCATAATATGTTTACAGTATCTTTGACATCTGATTTTCTATAAAGAAATTTTGTGGAAAAAAATTTTTTTTAGCTTAACTTACCTATTTTGATATAGAATTAAAAGTGAATATTTTAATATAAAAATATATAGATTAAATATTTATTTTTTGATGAATGACTACATTTATAAACACAATCTGTTACATTTATTTTGTCATTTTAAAAATCAAGTGGAAAAAAAAAGAAATTTTAAATTAAAATTATGGTTTGCTAATTGAAACTTTGTTTTAATAGTTTAAGTACAGGGGTCTGTCCCAAATTTACTACCGTTTACCCATACCTACACAAATTTAACTTTAGGAAAAACTGTAGAATAATTTCACAGAAAACTTTTTTCTTAAAATTTTATTTTTGTGTCTCATAAGAAAACGATAAATCCAAACTTTTAATTTTCAAAAATTATATCTACATTTTCACAAAATAGTTATCTCTCAGAAAAACCTAGACAGACCCATAAAGTATTCTTTAAATTTTCTATTTGAACTAGTCCTTAAATTTCAATCGTGCATTTGTTTCAAAATGGTTGCCATGCATTCAAAGCTATGTATTATAATGAAAAATTATTTTAGTAAGTTGAAATATTGTTATAATAGAGTTTTAATTTTAATTTTGATTAAGCATTTATAAAGTTTTTTTAATCATAAATTAAAGTTCTTACAGTGTATTTGAATAAAAATCAAAAAAATCGATTTAAATAAAAAAAAATCTGATTTCTTTTATTTTTTTTAAAAAAAATCAAAAACATCACGAACCCTGGTAATAATATAAACACCTAATGAATCATGAATTAGAGTCATGGTGCTGTTTGGATAACTTTTGTAGGTTTTCATGGTTTTTCTTTTTTTAAAAATGAAAGTTAGCATTAGTTACAAAAAATGCTTAAGTAATTTGCTCTTAAGTTTCATAATCTTCTAATGTGAGAATATTAAAAATCACATCTGTTGCGTGGATAACCTTTATAAATAAAAGAACGTTTTTTAAAAAGAAAAACTACCTTTTCAAAAATTTCAGTAGCCAAAATCTCATAGTTAATCATCATATATTTTTTTCGAAAATAGTTATTTAGATAAATTAAATTATTTTAAAACTATAAGAAACATGAGGTAACTATGTTTTTAATTTGGATACTAATATATATTAGAAATGAGAATATTAATTTTAGTAGCTAGAATACATACATTGCAAGCCATAGATTCTAAAAGGTGTTTTTTCTGTCACTCAGTCTATATCATAAATTTATTTAGCTAATTACCCTTAATAAATAAACAACAAGGTTCAAGTTATTAATAAAAATAAATTATCTGATGGCCAAATATGAATTATTTTATGGTATGCCAAACATTTGTTATTTAGTCATATATTATTTGCTTCGGTTATACTCCAAGCTCATTGTTCAAACTAATGTGAGCTCATTTTAATAATGTGTTGCATAATTTCTCTACATCTTAAGTACAACTGTATTTATTATATATTATTTATAGCAATAAAATAGAAATATTTTGAATAGAAATACATATTAATTTTACAAACTGTTAAAAAAAACACTTAAACTTAAATTAACTAAAATTATATCACTAGTTTGTACCTTTTGTTAGAAATTATTTGCGAGCATAAAATTTAAATTTCTGATTAACCTTTCATAGGTAGTTTTAAAATGTATTTTATCTTATGCATATGTGTTCCGCACTGGACTGATCGTAAAGACACGGTTCACATTAGAACACCAAAGTCAAGCATCACTGGCTGTGGTCAGTAGAGGGTGGGTAACCACTTTGATCACCCTACGAATGGACCGAGGGTGCGCGGTATCGGCCCTCGTTAAACTGTTCTACCGTAAAGTGCTCGACTTCGAGCGCAGTTTGTCGGGCTACCAAAGCGGAGGAGTCATCCCTTTTGCAGAGTGTCAAAATTGTGATGGCATGGATTGGGGATGTTACCTAGATTATCACCAATATCCCATTGTGCAGCTCTAGCACGATATAAATAAAATACCTACCTCATAGGTTAATATGACTTGCTGATATCAGTACAAAAATACATTTGGTTACAGTCCTGAAGTTAAGGGCTGTAATAGTCAGCTTCTCAAGATGCATATTTATCTTTTAAATTATTGCAGATCATGATCGTTTTTTTTTTAAATTTTATTAATGTAAATTACTATAAAAGATGAATTTGAATCGTTGGTACAAACACCTCAAAAAGTTGAAAATCAATAAATTTTGAGGAAATTTTTAAGTTATGTAAAGATAGGTTTTGATGCAGGTTTAATAGTACATATATAATTTTTGTGATAAAAGGATCTAGTTAGAAATTAACTTTACAAAGGAAAATACTTATCAACCAAGTCCAGGTTGTTTCATTGGATATTAGTATTTGATGCTTCACAGGATAATTCAAAGTTAAATTATACAATGAAGAGGCTGATGTTGAAAATAAAGTTTTTATTCTTGGGGAAAAAAAGCTTTAAAAGCGTTGCAGATAAAAGAAAAAGGAAATTGTTTTCATTATAATCAGAAAAGTAAAGGATTTTTTTTATTATCAAAATAAATTTTTAAAATAAAAAATTATGTGAAAAAATAAATAAATAATGGAAAGTGCAACGGAAACAGATAGGGGCCAAATAATACATACCCTAGAAGTTACAAAATACTTTGTCAAAAATGAGAAAGAAATCTATGATTTGACTAAATACCTATTAATTATTGCCAAGGTTGAAACTTTTATTTAACTCAAGTTTTAAATAAACAAGCCGTGAAAATCAAAAATGGACATTTTTTGCAACTAAAACATTACAGTCAACTTTCTATTTTGCTTTTAACATTCTATTTATTAAAAGAAGGATTAGAGTAAATATAAATTTTTAAATGGCATGAAATATGTTTAAGCCTCTTTTGGCATGACAGTAGTTAACTAAATCTCTTCATATGTAGTTGACTTATTTTTATATCATAATTTAAAAACTTATATTCAACTTGAGTTTTACAGTCACATATTTAAGAAGTTGTTTCGCTTAGATAAACTAAATGAAGGCCTAAATCAAAAACTACATCCCCTTATTCAACAGCTACCCCACAGAGGCACCAATAAGATATTACATTACAAACATTAAAAAATTTATGTCACTATCTTCGGGGCCCCCTTTTTTTTAAATAAATAAAATTTTAATGGCGCATTTAATTAGGGGTATAAACCTAGGAATTTAAATTCAGTTTCAATGAAATGGGCGGCCCGGTACCATTTGATCCACGGACCGGTACCTGTCCGCAGACCGGGTTGGGGAACATTGATCTAGGGGACTCAGTGGCATGTTCGGGCAGGGTCCTTCAAGTGGTGTTTATATTAGCCAAAAAAAGGGAGTGGACCTCGGAAGTTCACTACTTTTCCTAGCAAGCAGGTCATTAACTTTGTTTCCTTTAACCCCAACATGTGAGGTAATCCATAGTAAATATACCCTACCACACTGGATCAAAGCAGCCAATTTTAGAATGATATCCTGCCCCAATTTATCCAGTATAGTAGGCCAATTCTTCAATTGCTATCTGTCAGGATCCAAACATTATCCACGTCAGCTACCAGAGCAAGATTTAATGCCTCTCTAATAGCAACAAGCTCAGAGCGAAAAACTGAGCTGTGACCAGGATTTCTAAAACAATATCTATGTTCTCCTGTACTTGTTTTCGATCAGTCATTTAAGAAGTTCCTTGAATTAAAAAAGCTGACATAATATTTTAGTCAACCTTTTACATGCAATAAAAAAAAGTTACCAAAATAAATTCATAGCCGCCCAACATTTGAACCAATAATTCCCCCCCACACAGTTATCATTAACAAAAAGAAGAAAAGAAAAAAACAGCAATAATATACTGTTTTAGTGTAATTGGAGTTGTATGTTCTCAAATTGTTATTGTATGTTCGATCTAAGTATTGTTTATTTTTCAGGTTTAAGAGGTATTTGTAATGCCAGTGAAGAGGATTTAGCCAAAGTAATAGGTCCCAGTAGTGCGAAACAAGTGTATAATTTCTTTCATAATTGTTAATTTAATCATGTTGAATAACAAAAATATGTTTATAATTTGTGTAAAACTTTCTATAAGCAACAGTGCCTTTTAAAAAAATTTAAAACGTAATACATTTATAACTTTTGAAATTTATATGAATGTTTTTTTACATAATTATTTAACTGGAATTTTTAAAAAGAATCATAAATCTTCTCAGACATATCTCTGATGCATTGGAATTTCTCACAATTTAATATAATTGTTGCTTTGTATAGCAAACTATGTTATTCATTGGAAAAGAGGTATGGAGAGGAAAATTTCTTCCCAAATTTATCAGAATAGATACCTTTAAGAAAACCTGTATTTTATTTTTATCAAACATGTATGAATTCTGATCTTCAAAGTAAAAAAGTTTTCTTGCAACTACATACTAATATATTTTTCATTGAATTTTTTTTCACAAGTTATATATAAAATGAAGATGATATATTTGCATTTTTTAAACATATGAAATTATGACTAGGTAAATTGCTTTAAGAAAAAATAGCAATACATTTACATAGTCACAATACAGCTTCCATAAACAGAGTGGCCACTCAAATCAGGTTTCAAATTTCCCTGATTTTTCCAGGTAAAAATCTTAAAATTTCCAGGTTAACATGCTTTTTTTTCCTCATAAAGTATAGGATGGATACACCAAAAGTACCAATATTGTAAAGTATTTTATTTAAAATGATATCTTTTTTAATGTATCATATTGAAAAAATAATTAAAACACATTTATTTTAACAATTTAGCAAGAATTTTTTTTTTTTTTACTTTTTAACGTTTTGGTACAACATCAATTTTTAAAAAAATTAAGATGGATGTGGAGAAAATATGTTTAGCATGTAAAATATATTGTTTTTATTGAATAAAAAAAGTATAATGTGTACAGTAATTTTTTTTGAAAGTGCACCATGTAGCAAATACAGAGAGACAAAAAAAAAAAAAAAACTTCGACAAGTATTGTTTAATATATTTTCATTAGGGATGTAATGAATAGTGATTTGGCAGAATTGACAAACACCGAATAGTGGGAAAAACAAACCGTCTGAATACTAAATATTTGATGGCCGAATAGTAGCATTTTTTTTTAAAATCAATATATATTATTTTTTTATATATAAATAAGTTTAGTCATTTTTGAAAATTAATCAAGACGTAGCTATATTATTGGTGTGGGGTAAGGAGAAAAAATTATAAAAGTTATCTATAAGAAATTTCTAAGATAAATAAAAACTAACTAATAGCTACAAAAAAAAACTGAGGTTGTAAAGTTGAATAAAAAAGAAACAGAGAAATAGCAAAAAAAATATTCTCTTAATTTTTAAAACAAAACTTTAATGCTGAAAATAGCATTTTCCGAAAAAAAAAAGTAAACATAAAAAGAAAAAAGTATCAGAAAAGCTTTTAAAAATGTCCACCAAAAGCAAAACATAAAAAATAAAAATCTATCATAATTAAACTGAACTGATGGACTATCATATTTAAAACTGAACATTTAAAAAAGAAAAAGCTAAATAGAAACTAAAACTAAAATTGTTCTAAATTTTTAAAAGAAAATGTAACGCTTTTTCAAGTAGTGGCGATCAAAAATAACGTTCTTCAGAAATGCTCTTTTAAAAATGATATCATAAGAAAAACTTTGATTCAAAGTTAATGAAAAAAAAAAACATTCTCATTTCTTAAAATATAACTTTAAGATTGAAAATCACAGCATTTTTTTGTTACCAGCTATCTGTCTTACCATACTAGAAAAACAGTAAAAATAAAAAAAACTTATTTTAACATTTAAACAGAAAATGTTAGATATCTAACTAAATACTTCATATAAATTTGTTCTTCAACTGAAAAGAGCTAAACTAGCTTTTTACAGATCATGAAATAAGACAAACTATTTATGAAAATTAAAAAAATTTATTGTCAATTTCATTACAGTCTGAATTAGAACAAATAATTATAACTGATAAAAATTTATAAAAAAACTAAACATTTTTAAACCTTAATTTTGGCTCTACAACTAGTGAAAATATTAAAAGAATAAACAACATTCATATTTTTCCGAATAACATTTACATAAAACACACAACAACAAATTTCATCAAGATAATATTTTGATCTTCTCACAAAATGCTTTTTAGGGTGAATGAGATTGAAGAAACAAATTAGTTTTTACTGTTAATCGAATATAGTATTTGTCAATTGAAGGGAATATGAATAGATATTAAAACTGCCCTAACTAATTCCTAAAATCATTAAAGTTTCCAAAAGTCTCATAAAACATTTGTCCAGACCTTAAGATTTTTTAGGGTTGTAGCCACTCTTGCTCTCGTAATATTTTAATATATTATTTCCACTTTTTATATTATAACATATATACTGTAAAAGCATTCAATAGCTAATTTATAAGTTAGATTTTTTGAAAGCATAGTAAAATTAAGTAAAGTCAAACTTAAGTAAACAGTTTAACTCTTAAAATAAATATCCATCAATTTGTAAACTGTCTTGATCTTTAATTTTTATAACTTAAACAAGCATAATTCTATTTTAGAGCATTGAGCAAACAAAAATTAGTATTGAATTAACACGTTCACACCGGGTGTTGCGCCTGAAAGCGGGACGGAAAAGAGAAAATACTGATAGAAGAACTATTTCAATATTAGATAATATTTGGGAGGAGTTAATCTATTCTCAACAATAACAATTCACTGTAAGGAAATTTATCACGACGAAGAAGCAATTCAATATAAAAATTGCATCCGTTAAAAACAATTGGTAGTTATGGATTTTTATTATTCCTGGAAAAAAAACTAAAAAATGAAATTTATTTGTGACCAGTTTTTACTCCGGTGCGCCGCCCGATGAGACAATCTAGCGTGACCCACCAGTTGGTCACCCCGGCGTAAACATGTTAATTATGTTAACCAATTCAGAAACATTCTTTTAGTATTTCTGTGAAACCACACACAGATTCTCTTTCAGAAACTTTCTGAAGAGCGCCTCCCATCAAGCTTATGAGTGGCGAAAATGTTCAGTTGTGAAGCTTTGGTTGACGAGACATAGTTTGATAGTGATGTATCAACTAAACCATGTACTTTAAATTCTGTAACTGGAAAGCTATGTAAAATTTCAGATGTTTTGATACACTGACAATTGCATAAAGAATGTCTCTTAAATTACTAAGTCTCTCTACTTAAGATTTCTATGCAGTATACATAACTTATGTCACAAGGCATGTTGAATTAATTAACGAAAGAGACTGCAAGAGCACAAACACTCCTTCATTCACAGTGTGGTACCCAGTTATGAAATTACAATATTTCATAAAATTCTTTATTAGAAATCACAACAAAAATTAAGATTGCTTTTCAAATGATTCCAGTTTTTAAACTTTAAGGAAAAATTAAATTTTATTCTCTTCATGTAAGATTTTACGTATGATTATTATTACCATATGTTGTCTGCAATTTTGAGTAATGCTTTGAGTGAAAACTTTTCAATCAAGTATATAAGGTGTAAAAATTATTGCACATTTGAAAAATATGTTTTAAAAAGGGTTAACATGCAATTAAAATCATATTAAACATTCTGTGTAAGTGTTTCTAGAAGAGGTAAAAAATTCTAACATAATTTAAAAGACACTCTAAATATGATTGTTAAAAGCGTTTATAAAAACTATTGTATCTTAAAGTAGATGGTGTAAAAAGCTTGAAATAAATTTTAGAGAATTTTTATGGCAATTAAGACAGTTTTTTCTTAGATGTATAGTTTAATAATATGAAAGACTGAACAGTTAAATAGTTCTTAAACTACTATTTGAAAGTTTTCTTTACGTCACGTAAAATAATCTACTAATAATATATATATATATATGTCTCAAAATTTAATTATCTTTTTCGCCATTTATAAAATGCCTGATACCCTAAAACTTTTCAAACTAATAACAAGAAATATACAAATGTGATGAATAACAAATAACATATTTACAGATGAGTCAGTATATACAAAATATATTGAACCTAAATATTCCATCCAACTATGAACCTGGCATCCTCTACAGAAAGGATTCAGCATGAATTTGGCACAACTTTAATGCAAGAAAAATTACATTTGAATGCTGAACAACCTTACTTTTTTGAGTGGAATAAGTCAATAAACTTGAGGCAATAATTATTTTTATGGGCTATTTTATTTTTTAAACTTAAGTGGCTTCAGAATATAAATAATTTTTTTTTTTAAATCAGATTATATTTATTAAATTGTTTTCCCTTGTTAAAGTTTTAAAACTAAACTATAATCTTTCTAATTATAACAATGTTTGTCTAATAAGAAAATAATAGATTAGTTGATAAAAATTTTTATAGTTGGAACACATTTAATTTAACTATGTTCAGAAGTTTAAAATATTTATGTGTTCTGGACACAAAACAATCTGCTTAATGCAGTTTACATAACATATTATTCTTGAGCATAGATTATTCATATTTCAAGATCATAAGTAATTTAATGTTAAAGACAAAGTTTAAAACCAAAAAAAATCAACCAATGTAAAAGTTTACTCTAGTGTCATCTAATATATTTAAAGATTGAGGAATAAAATTTGAGCATCAAGGGAAAAGATACCACCAGCAATAAAATATCTCAATAATCTATTTTACCATTTAATTAAAATACTTTTTGTAGACAAATAACAGCAATGCGAAATAATTATATACATTTAAAATGTATAATGGAAAGTAGTGTGTAATTAGACAAATATATATCTAACATAAGTAGTTTGACAATTTCTGTCAAACTACTTAATTAGTAAGCCTATTCATGAAGCTATTTATTGTGAAATAATAATATCTTAAATGCAATCCTAATACTTTTAAGCTCAATTTTTCATCAATAATATCAACTAAGAAACCTCTCAAAAGCCTGTTTCTAGCTTTAGACTAACTTTTATGTACAAATAATAGCAACATGAAATATATCTTTACATTTAAAATTTATGATACAAAGTAATTCATACATCTAAGCATTATCTAATTCAAATATAAATGATATGAGTAATTTATGACAAACTTCTAATCAGTATTAAGAAAACTACGATAGGCTTATTTGTGCAGCTATTTGATATATGAAATTATAAAATTTTAACAGATGCTATTTTACCACTTATTGCAGCTCAACCATTTATTGAAAATATAAATAATGGAGGTAAAATGCATTTATTTTTATTGAGCTTTTTGATTTGTTAAAATGAAATTCATAGAATTCATTTTTTGATATTTGAAATGATATTAACATTATTAAATAGTAAATTGTAGCAAAATAGTATTTTTTTTTCCTTTAAAGAAATACGCTCAAAGATATTGATGAATTCACTATTGAAAAAAATCACAGTGGATTGTGTTTTTAGTTTATATTAAAAACATATTTACAATTATAAGATTCAATATTTACAAAATATAGTTTGTGGCACATTATTACATAAATAGTAAAATAATCCATAGTAAAATAACTTCCATAGTAAAATAACTTCATATAGTAAGGCACTAAATTGGCAACATTTGAACTGAGCAGATGATTTCTAAATATACATTCTATGGCAGAGTATCTACAAACATTACGCATCAGCTAGAACAAAAACTGAAATTGGGAAAAAGATGACAGTGCAAAGAAAGAAACCTGAAACATAGAACAAATTAAAAGCTTTAGTTATACCAGTAGAGACATTTAATTTATCTACATAGATTAATAATAAGCTTTTCTTTTTTCATTCAAATATTTTCTAATCGACATCATTTACACTAACTTGTACATATATGTATACAGTATCTCGAAAACCCTACTGTCAAAAAAATAATTTTTTCCCTTGGCATTACATATACACCTAATGTTAAATAATTTGATCTCCTATGTCTAAGAGTTTCTTCTCTTAAACCTTGTTATGTCGAATATTCTTCGAAATAGAAAATGAATTCTTTAGGAGAAATCACTATGTAAGTTTATTGTAGACAAATTCTTTTCTATTTAATGCATAATTATTTTTATCTTATTTTTAAAAATTATCATTTCTGTTTTTAGACTTATAGTAAACAATCATTGCGTACATAATAAGCAATTATTCTTATGTTTCATGACTCTACTTTTTAGAGTACCATTTTAGAATATATTTTTATATACTTTTTAGAACGTATTTAGCTCAGAACTTGTTTTTTTGCAATCTCAAAATCTTTTTACCGTCCCTTTTACTTTTGAGATATCGAGAGTATATTATTATATATGTGCAGGGTTCTTACTAAAAAAAAAAGACATTTTTTCCAGGTAGATTATGAAAGTTATAATCTCATCGTCAGCTCACATCATTATACCAGGAAAATAAATTGCTTTTGCACTATTGTATGTATTGTATTTATATATATGAATTGAAGCTTATAACGTTGCCGAGTGGAAGGATAAAAACAGGTCTTAGGCAGGGAAAGAGGGCACAATATTTATTTTATAATTAATAGAGAGAACAGTCATCAAAATGACATAAAATCGTTGTGCTCCTTAATAAAAGTTAGGGAAAATCTTGCAAAGTAAATCTGTAAAATGTCTTGTTTCAGGGGAAAAGGGAAATCTTAGTAATTGTAATTGGTGTATTAAATAGGGCTAGGGAAATTGTCGTTCCCAGGAGTTAGTTAAAGGAATAATAGTTAAAATATTAATTCATGTGTAATATCGCACAGTCCAAACAATAATTTCTTAGAGTCCCAGACTCCTACAAAAGAGCGTCTTTACTTCACAACCACTTCGTGATAACTCTTACATATCTTTATTCACTACATCTACACTTGATCACCGCAGCACCATCACAACATGGAGGCATAACATAATGCATAATTGAACTCAAAATAGATTAAAAGTCAGGATGTTAATTTTAAAGTGCGCGAAAGAGCATTTCGTTTAGAATAATAGATTAAGAAAAATATTTACAGGAAAGGAATAACAAAAAGATTAGTTGAAGCTTAATATGACAAAGAGATGTCGCACCCTCCACAAGTAGATCTGTTTTTGTGTAAAAAGAAGAGGAAATTCACAAGCAAAAAACCTGTGTGGTTCAAAAATGAGTGATTTCTTAAATATTAAAGTATCATTCTTATTGGTTTTTCCATTCTCTTAATTAATGCTCATCCTTTTATATCAATTGAAGCCTTTGAACTAACTTAACAGCATCTGGAGTGTAATTTCAAATAGATGAACAGTTCTATTTTTAAAGGAGACTTACTACAGCCTCTCAAAAAATAAAATATTTCATTATTTTCATTCGCCAGAATTATAAAATATTTCATAATTCTGGCGAAAAATCAAGGAGCAGATGTGACAATTTGTTTTTATAATAATTAATTTAATTGTTTTTATAACAATTAATCTATAATTATCATTATTTCAATTAGAAAAAAAATGTTTTTACAACTGAGATAACAACAATAAATGTAACCAACAGCTGTTTACAAAACAAGGGAATTTTCTTTGAAAGAAAGCCTGTATTCAAATATCTCATACTCTAGCTATATTTACAAATTTGAAGCCAACATACAAAACAGTCAAATTCAGTTTAGAATTTTAACCACTAACAGTTTAGTAAATTTGTTTTCATCTTTAATTTGGTTTAAAGAATGTCTTTAACAAACCTAATCTTTAGAGGTTTTTTTTTAAATTAAATAATATGGTTAACTGAAAATAAAACTTTTAACAGTAACAAGTCTATCACACACGTGATTGCTAGAAGAAATTATTTTAAAAAAAAATTCTCAGTATGCAGTTTTTTTTTGTATTTTTCTTTTCTTTTTAACATATAAGATGCATAACAGACTGTCATTTTTGTGCACAAAAGTAAAATTTATAAAATTTAAAGAGAATTAAATATTTACCTTATAAATTTTTGTCTTATCAACACGTAAAAAAAATTATTTTGAAAAGTGTGAAATTTACAGCAATAACTGAAAAAATATTATAATATATAATAAATAAAAAAATATTATAATATAATATAAATATGATAGAACGTATATTTATGACGAAATCACACAAATCGTATGCTTCAAAAAGGGGTTAATTAAATGTACGTTTAGTATACACGCTGTAATAAATAATGTTTTATTAAAAATATTGAGATTTTAAAAAATATGCAAAAATCAGTACTGATGACTGCCAAAAAACTATTTTAAAAAGTACTAGAATTATCACATCAAAAATCAGGTGCGCATTTTGAATTTTCTATATCATAATATCAGGGCAAATAAAGCGAAAAGTCATTATTCAAATCTGCAATTTGAATTTCTCTTTTATATCATATCTTTATAATACTGTATAAAAATACCGTAATCAAAAAACCACAATGGATATAAAGTAGCAATAACTTTAAAAATTTCTATCGAAAAACAGTGATATTATCGCGTCAAAAGTGACTAATAAATACACAAATGGAATTTCGTGCTTGATAATAATATTCAGGAAAAACTAGAGCTTTACAAAAAAAACATTGAGAAAATTCGTAGCAATAATAGCCAATAAAAAGACTGACACACTTCATAGACTTGCGATCATATTGACACAAATTGAGAGCATTAAAAGGGGATTACAGAAATGTGCAATTCAAAATTTGTGTTTCGTTATAATAACAGAATTTTAAAAACCATGGGAAAACACCATCGCATTAACTGCAAGAGAAAAGAAAAAAACATTGAAACACAGATTTAAGATGGCATTGAGTGCATAAAAATGCGCAATCAAATTACAACGTCGTTAATACCATATTAAAAATTCGATCCAATTGCAGCCAAATAAAAAAGTAAGCAAATATATCACATTGATTAGACAATTCTTCGGTTACAAATCAGATTTTGCAACAAAATCACTACTCTCTAAAACAAAAGTTAAGAAAAAAAAATTTAAGCGAAGAATCTTTTAAATGTTTGGAATTATCCTTTAGATTATCAATTTTGTGTTTGCCTCAGTAATTCATTAATTTTAGCCAGATTTTAATATGGATTTTTTTCTTCTTCGTTTGAAGCTTACCTGAAACTGCATGTTTCTCTAAAAAAATACTGTGTCCAAATAAAGTAGTTATTGCATGTGAATGAGAACTTAGGAAGAAGAAAAAAAGATTTCTGGTAATGGTGGCATAAATGTCTTGCTAACATGATTTTGAGTAGCTAAAATTAAATTTTTAATTTGTGGAACTTTAAGAAAATTTCGTCGGAATATAAATTATTGATTCGTGGAAATGTGCAAATCAATGGTCTTGAAATGGTTTGCTGAATTCCATAAATTAGTGAATGAAACAAAGGCTCTTGAAAAAAATCAAGCCTACTTTAATCTGGATGGGATACAAAACTATCAAACAAGGCAAACATTTATTCTTAAAATAAATGGAAAAAAAATTCTTCAAGAATAAATAGAAAAAAGTACCTGGTTGGATCTATTCTGTTATCAAATCCATCTATTTGGACAACATTCATTTCATGACCAAATCTTGAGTAACTAAAAGAAATCTAAGAGAAAAAAAAAATTGTTATCTTAAGATCAGAAAATGCTATCGCTAATATTTATTAAACTATTTTACTTCCCATTTGTCACCATACTGCTAATACATAGAACAAAGATCTTAACTGCATTTTTGGACAATTGGAGTTATTTTTACTAAGAAGTAAAAATAAAATTTTTTAAATGACTCAAAAATAGGTTTTGTAAAAAAAATTTAGCCCATATTTATTTCAAACTAGTGAAGAAAAGTTATTATCATTAAAAGCATGCCTGTCAACAATGGAGAACTAAAATAATGAATATTTTCCAAGCGAAATTGTCACGGCTATGAGTAAAGTTTTGATACATCATGCATAATCAAAAATAGAAATTCAAAATTGGAAATAATATTAGCGAAGTAAAAAATATGTATATAAATCTTAATCTAAAGAAACCGTATTTTAAACTATTATTTATAATTACTTAAACTATAAACACTCAACATACTGCAGTACTGGCAATAGCACCATCTGTTGATGAATAAGAAAAGTATTTTTGACATTAGCGGATATTTTATGGGCAATTTTTTATTTATTTTTTTCCATAAATACGGAGAAATTTAAGAATATACCAGTAAACAAAAGATAGTCATAAAATACAGGAGTTTTCGTTTTAAAACAGGATACTTGGCAGGTATGTAAAAGTATACTTTGAGAGAGTGGAGAAGGATATTTTAGACAATTCTCCATTTAATGCACTAAAAATTCTGGAATAAGATTAAAATGAGTAGCTTATAGACAATGTGATTTAATTGTGAGGAAATAAAAAAAAACTTAATAGGAAACAATTTTTGTCTGCTTTTTATGAACAAAAGAAAAGAAAAGTTATAATCTTAACATGATGAACTTATCTAAAAGTTCATTGCACGAGCATTTGAGCTAAAGTCTCATTTCATTTTATTCAGTACAAATAAAATGTATTGGAGTTTGTTCAGAATAGTTTCATATTCAATTACAAAAGAATAGCTGGGGACATGTGCAAAAGCATTACCAGTCAACAATGTATTAAGACTACATGTTATGTATGCATTGAAAGGATTTTATTAAAGGTTTAGAAAATCGATGAAACTTACCTGCTCAGGAAAGCTATCTTGTTTTAAAAATTTCATGGGTTCAAAATGAGAATGGAATAGATCCACAACAGTTAACTTCTGTTGAAGTATATGCTCTAAAATTAAAGTTTTATTTATTAATTCCTTAGATAAATGATTTTTAGATGCATCAATAAATATATTTAATTATAACTAAATAATTTCTTATCATAGTCTTAATCTACAATAGCAACAGTACAACAACCATTATTCTGAAATTACATACGTAATACAAATACATACAGTCAATTGGCAACAATCTCGCTGGAGCAATAAAAAGATTTTGACCAATCAGAAGTTCGACTTACTATCAGTGTTCAAAAAAATACTGAACACATTTTATTAAAGCCTTAAAATATAAATAATTTATTTTCATAAAATACTAAAAGAAAACAAATATTTTTAATTCTAAATAGAAAAAACTTCTTTGAAAAAAAACGCGCTAAAAAGCAGCAGAAATTTCAGAAAAAAGTAGCAATAAAGAAAACAAAGGTAATAAAAATAAAAATATGACAGCCGACGTCTTCAGGGGGTAACGGCCTCGGTAGCCATAAAAACAAACCCATTTCTAATTGAAGGAGAAGCAAATGCTTAAATTAACTCCCTCAGTACCCCGATGGTTTTGTATAGAAGTCCAGGAAAAAAAACATGCAATACAAATAACAAATTAAGAAAAAAAACTCAAACAAAATCATCAGAAAAATAAAAACTCACATAGTCACAGGTCAAACATCGTTTTCACAAGCAAGCCGAATGAAAAGAAAAAACTAAAGAAAACAACTACCTCTATTACAATGCGCAGATGGAGAATAAAATGAAAAAAGTCAAGAGTAAGAAATACGTAACAAATTAATAGAATGCTTAACTGTTAAGCATTCTATTAATTTGTTACGTATTTCTTACTTTGTTACGTAATGCTTAACTGTTAAGCATTCTATTAATTTGTTACGTATTTCTTACTCTTGACTTTTTTCATTTTATTCTCCATCTGCGCATTGTAATAGAGAGCGTTGTTTTCTTTAGTTTTTAGTTTTTTCTTTTCATTCGGCTTGCTTGTGAAAATGAAATTTGACCTGTGACTAAGTGAGTTTTTATTTTTCTGATGATTTTGTTTGAGTTTCTTTTCTTAATTTGTTATTTGTATTGCAAGTTTTTTTTTCCTGGACTTCTATACAAAACCATCGGGGTACTGAGGGAGTTAATTTAAGCATTTGCTTCTCCCACAATTAGAAATGGGTTTGTTTTTATGGCTACCGAGGCCGGTACCCCCTGAAGACGTCGGCGGTCATATTTTTATTTCCTTCGTTTTCTTTATTATTTTCATAAAATACATTTTTTTTCTCGAATTAAAATTTTAGCTCACCTATGATATAGCCCATGGTAACATCATCAGGCAATCGAATTTTCTCGCCAATGCTAATGAATTTACCTCCACTGAAAAAATAAAAAAATTATATATTATAATTCATTCCATTTTTAAAAAAGTTAAAGACAAAGGGTTTCAAAAATTTAAAAAAGTTATCTTTAAAAAAATATATATATATTTTATATTTTCTGTACATTACCATTATTTACTGTTGTTCCTAAAAAAAAATTTGATAATTACAGTAAAAGGACAAAGCAAAAAAATTTAAAAATATATATATATATATACCTCGCTATAGGCAACATCTTCAAAGCTAAGGCACGGCTAATACAAAACCCAGCTCCACCAGTAGCAAACCAAAAGGAAACGTTTTTCTGAAACATAAGTAAATTTAGAATTTAAATACATCAATTATTAACACTATAACATACATTAGTGCCCTAACATTAATAATTCCATGTTAATTCTATCAGAGCAGCATTTTCTCTTGTCTAATAAGTCCTGGAAGATTTTGAATGTCAAGGCTGTTGATCTTGTAAGATCATGAATACAACTTTCAGGCTAAGTGAGGTTATGTTAAGCTCCATGCAAATTTGCTCCCATTATAATAAGCAGAAGTTCAAAAACTAATAGGATTAAGCTTTTTCATAACCGTCATTGAACTGCCGACCCAATTATAAGTTTATGACTACTGATGTTCAACTCAGTAGTCTATTAATTTTGAACCCAATTCAGAAGGCAAGGGAACTCCTGGATCAAACATCAAGAGAAATTTGCCTTCATGGAAGACTTTTTGATGGAATTAATCTGCATTCGTGTTACATTGAGAGGAAAACTACTAAAACCTCCCACGTTTAGCCTGACGGCAAGGGGAACCTAACCCTCGATCGGTCGACCACTGAGGATATTTTTCGTCAGTACTGTGGTCGGTGCGGATGGGACGTGAAGTTCGTGTATCTGCTAGCCATCGCTGGGATTCAAACCTAGGTCACTCCATTGGGAAGTGAGCCCCTTATTTCTTAAGCCACCCCGGATCAATAGGAAAAACTTAGCTGAAGATCTTTCAACAATTTTCAATGGTCGCAAGCTGTCTTTTAATTCAGTGTTTCTTGCTGGGTGATGACAGAATGGTAGATCACCTCCATTGCACTGGAATATTTACCAACTCTTATGGCTCTTTCTTGAGTTTGGCTGTTTCATAAATTACGGAAACCTATGTCGATGTACAATGTGCATCACTTTACAACAATTCTAACGTGACTCTTCATTTTTGAGGTAATGACTTCGCTAATTTTTTTAAGCTGTTATTGTATTTGCTTACCATGGGAAATATAAAGAAAAAAAAGAGGTAGTGAACTTTCTATTTTTTGATAAATGTTAGTTTTACTGATAAAAAAAAATAGTTTTAAAGTAGCATTAGAAACATAAGTAGAGACATAAAAAGTTAAAATAATGAATGAATATTTTAATAATCCCTGTAATTTAGAAAAAGAATCTACCTTTCAAATCTTCTGTTCAACTGTAAAAACTTTAGATAATAATGGCACATTTTCTGCAAGTTGTATTCATAATTTTATAAAATATAATCAACATTCAATATAATAATAATTTGTCATTCAAATGAAAACAGGCTATACAACTGAAGACTATTATATCGAGAGTATTAAAATATACGCAAGAACAGAGGGGGAAACGCAAGAAAAAATTAAATTCATTTTTGGTTGCTTACTAGAATGAACAGTTAGTTCAGTACAGACATTCTAATGAGCAATCAAATAACAATGCAATAACAAATGCGATTTAATATATCAGTCGCTATAATGAAAAGGAGACGCACGAATGAACGTAAATATTTAAAAAATTCTGATTAGAGATGAGCTCAGGTTCGCTTTTGGAGGTCCATGACCATCTGAGCAAAAAGAACTTTAATCTGAGTCTACCAGAGACTGAGATGTATAGGATTACTTAGAGCCCAAGTTTGCCAGAGATATATGTTGGGTGATGGACAGAGTTTGCGATCTCGCTACACGGCCTTTACAAGGAAACAATAAATTAAATACTTTTCTATAATCAACCTGTGAAAGAAAAAGTGAAGAGAACAACTGAACCTATTGATTAAGCTAAATAGAAGTAATTTGACAATTAGTGCTAGGTAAAAAAAAAATGGAACCAAATGTTTAAATTTTGTAAAAAAGCTTATGAAAATTTCAACGTGAATCCGAGCTCACCCAAAACCTTATTTCAGTTCACGACCCATCTCATCTCCAACTCTGGCTCAGTACTTACAGACATAGAGGAAAAAATACTCAATTATGAAAAGTAGAGTATTATTAACATTGCAATGGCATTAAATTTTGGAGGAATCAGTATAATTGTCTGAATTTTGATGCTATTGGTGAACCATCTGAACAAAACATTGTCTATTCAAATGAGCATCGAACAAAACATTGTCGTTATCCTTGTCGATTCTCAGGCTGCGATTCAGATCATTTCTGAATATAATTTATACCCCTCTGAACTTGAATATGAGTGTAAACAACACATCTACTCTCTTCTTTGTTCTGGAAGAGAGGTAGTCCTCCAGTAGATCCCTGGCCATTGTGGTATCTACGGAAATGAAAGGGCTGACATGTTGGCTAGAGAGGCTTCAGCATTGTATCCACCTTCTCATCCAGTTCCTCTTAGACGGCTTCTTAAGAGAAAACTCAGACACAGGACAATATCTGCTCTTAGGCACATTAGCTGATGGAAAATCCTGGGCTAGACTTCTAGATGGCCAGCAGGGCTCTCATCTTTCTCTCCTTCCCAGGGCCGAGGGAGTTGCTTGTCTTAGAATAATTACTGGACATGACTACTTGCAGATCCATCTATTTAAAATTAACCTGGTCAATTCACCTATTTGTGTGCTCTGTAACACTTCTCCTGTGACTGAGGAGCATCTATTTGATTGCCCCTCTCTTCTTGACATTCGTTCCTGTGACGACTTCCGTGCTCTCTCACCTTCTGGAGCTACTTCACTATTGTATTGGACAGCAAGACGCCTTATGTCTGAGAAGACGATTGCGGGCGTAATTTAAAAAGAAGAAAAAAGTTTGAAATCACTAAATTAATAAATTTAATTTTCAACACTTACTTGATTGTCATATCGACTAATTATTTCTAAAGGTGATCGAATACTAGGTTTTCCTAAATACCAATCTTCTTGAGGATTATAGCTCTGAAGTAGTCTTAACAACCTTGGCACATTCACATAATTATCATCATCAAAATGACAAAGCCATCTACAAAGAAAGGTGTGGCATTTAGAATGTTTTAATCTGTGATGCTTATGTTATGAATTGTGGCATATTTTACAGAGAGACACCAACAGAACAAGACTGACATTCCCTTAGAGAAATTTTTAAAAACAAATGCATTTAAGAAAGATATTACAATTTTAAGTTTTCGTTCTCTATTTTATTTTATCCGTTGTTGAACAGCCGACCCAATTTTGGGTTTACGACTACTAATGTTCAACTCCGTAGCCTTGAAATTTTGAGCCAATCCAGAAGGCAAGGAAACTCCTGGATCAGAACCCCCAGAGGTACTGATTTGTTATGGGAAAATGGAGGGCTTTGCGACTCGACAGATTTAACGTGCATCAATCACCATTTACTACACAGGGAGTCTTCAGCCGGTGGGGATTAAACCCACGACCACTTGGACATGGGGTCAGTGCCCTACCAACCAGGCGATCCTGGCCTCTTTCCTTCTCTATTCTAAAAACTAGGAATATAAAACAAACATCAATATTTTTATTTACATTTTGAATTGATGGCAAAAATGAAATTATCTATACATAAGATTACTTTGATTATTTTAGTACATTTGAAAAGTTTAATATTTTCTTGGTGCATTTTTACAACAAAAAAAAAACATTTGATATCTATAACATAAATATAGTAAAAGGAAAAGTTTCGGTGTCTGACTGTGCATTTCTTATGATTCCAGAAATATTTGTGTGACGGTCTTGGAAATTTGAACAGAGGATGCAAGAAGCAATTTTCACCCCTTGATTCTAAAAAAGCATTAAAAAACTTCAATGAATCATTTCATAAAGAACTGTAAAAAAAAATAAAGTTTTCTCACAACAGACAGCTGTGGGGTAATAGAGTCATGGAGGTTAAGGTCCCACAATAAACGAACGGCATGATTGCATGCAATGTTATTATTCATGTGGCGAGTACACATGTTGCCTTTACTTCCCAGGAAAACTAGTACCCATCAATCAGGAACTGGTTAGGCTTCAACTGTAGTCTTTTGCAATGACAACTTCTATGTCTTAATCAGGGTTGGGATTTTGGACAGGACACGTGGGTTTTGTCTTTAACTGACTAAAGCTGTCTTAAAGTGTCCAAACCCTTGAATATAGGTAAAAGGTAAAAATTTTATATGTGTAACCATTATACACATAATAATTACATATATAAATAAATATTTAATACTTTTTATACAATTTACTTATTAAAGGAAAATAATATAATAGGAAAAGATAAATAACTTTTAAAGCTGCACAATTCATTGAATAACAAAAGTGAATACCTTATCCTTTAAATATGCTTTTAATACTGATAAATTAGGTTTTTGCATAAGGATAAAAAATGCAATACTAAAAATAACTATAAACTTTGTTAATAAAACAAAAATTTGTCTTTATTATATATCTTGTTCAAAAATTGACCTTGTATTTTTCATCAGATTTTTTTAAAATTGTGATATAATTTGAATAAAAGGGTTTTGGGCAGTTTAAGACAGTTTTGGACAAAGGGGTATTGGACAGGATGGTTTAAACCCTGGTTTAATCCGCGGATTAATCTATCCTGTCCTAAACTCTGCCAATTCTGGTCTTAAGCCTTTAACCACTGAGCCATCACAGATTAAATTAAAATGGTTCTTTTGTTTAATATTTAATCAAAAATGAAGTTTATTGCTTGCTCTTTAATAACTAAATATTTTCTACTTATTAAATGAGGATTAATGCGGATAGCATGTGAGGACTGTAGAATGATGCTAAGTCCACAAATTAAGTAAAAGACCACAGTTGAGTTGCCAGAACAGTTTTATGACTTCTAATATTAAATTAATATTTTTTTGTCTCTTTATACTTTTTTAATCATCTAAAAAAATTTGAATTTTTTCATGTATGCAATTCAATTAATACATTAATTATATTTTGTCAGTCCTTACTGCTAAACATGCAAAAAAAGACACTTACTTTTTTGAGCTTTCTAGAAATGTATCAAATTCAACAGACATTTTACAGCATAGAGCTTTCCTGTACAAAAATAAAATAAAAAATTTGAAAATGGATAAGTTTTAAAAATTAAGTGTTTTAATTTGAATAGGGAAAAAAATAGTTTTAAAATAAATAATGCTTACTTACCTATTATGAGAAGATGAGCAATTGGTGTTTATGAAATGACCTCCTGAAATAATGTTTTTATTAATATTTTGCAATAAAAAAATTCAATAACTTTCACTCAAGTAAACAAGTAGAAAAATCTAACTTAAAATTTTGAAAAAATTATACTTTTTTTAATGTCAGGAATAAAAATTATTAAATACGCATTCATTTCACTTTTTTTTTTCAATGACTTTTTTTTGTAATGTGACTTTTTTAAACATCTATATATATATTTCTCTTACACGGCACCAAAAAAAAGCCACATTACAACTCCCCGAATGGCAACGTTAGAAAATCGACAAATGATTGCTGCTAAAAATGTCACATGCCAAATCCAGCTTAGGGGGCTCAACATATAGCGCTTTTAAAAACGGAAACAATAACCAGAGTGAGCATTATCAGGTTGTTCAATTCAGATTCATGCCCTAAAAACATGATAATATTTAATTTAAACTCAATTAGGAATTAATTAATTAATTGAAGTGAGAATGCTTTAAAAGGCCGCTGTTGAATTGATATTTTTCTACTGGGAGCTACCTAACGTCTAAGTGTTTGTATTGAATGCATTGAATTTTTTTATATTTCGCGTATATTTATGCATTGAATTTTCACGCTTTAAAATGCAGAATATTAGTGAAGCTGCTAGGGCTCTTAAACGTAATGAAAGAAAACGTGTTCGAACAGCCCAAGAAAGTGTTGAGGAATGTTATGGAAGATGTAGATTGCAGAGATCAAGTGCAATAATAACTGTTCAAGATGTAACAGTAGATGTCGAAGAGTATAATATTGGCTCAATGACGGAACAATGTAGATATTGTAATGCTTACTTCTGGGCCAAAGAAAGAAATTCTTCTGGCAAATATACGAAATTATGCCACGATGGAAAAATTAATTTGCCTACACTAATGGACATTCCCGAGTTGCTGCAAAAATTATTAAGTGATAATTCGATTGAGGCACGAAATTATCGAAATCATATCCGGGAATATAATTCTGCTCTTGCTTTTGCATCATTTGGAGCACACATAAATCCACCTCCTGGAAATGGATCGTATTGTTTTCGGATTCATGGTCAAATTTATCATATGGAGTCACCTTTGTATAGCAATGATCAAAATAATGCTGGATACGGGCAGCTGTATATTTTTGTTTCAACTGAAGCTACCAAAAGATGCATTGAAAACAATACTGGATGTTTACGCTCTGTAATGGAACAATTAGATGGTCTATTGAGGCAAATTAACCCTTTTGCTGCATCATATCTTCAGATGCATCAGTTTATTCAATTAAACCCTGCAACAGATGCAAAATTAGTTTTTATGGAAGATCCCTCTTCAGATTTGAGACGGTATAATGCTCCCACATCAAAGACAGAAGTTGCTGCCATATTCGTTGGAGACAATGGGGAACCTCCATCTAATCGAGATTTGTGCATTTATCCTGTTGCAGACTCTTGCAAAACTATTTCTCCTATGAATCCATGTATTGATTCAATGGTCTATCCACTTAGGGTTTAAAGTTTATATTTTTAAATAATAAAAACATTTTCTAAAACTTTCCGAATTTCTGGCATAAACTAATTTATTATACACATTTAGTTGAATTTAGGTGAGTAACTGCAATATTTGATAATTTATTTTGCTAATATGTTTCTCATTTAGCTAATGTTTTGATTTTTTCACCATGTACAATCTAAATAGCTAATATAAATTTTTAAAAGCCAATAAGAACATTGATAGAATTCTTCTACATAAGTACAATACTATGTCTTTGATGATAAAATACTATGTCTTTGATGATAATATACTCTGTCTTTGTGCTAGAACATTGTGTTCATTGGCGAGCGAGAGCAGCGAGCCATGGTTCACGGCGTGAACCACATAGGATTGCGTAGCAATTCTCGGGGGTTGGCGAGCGTTAGAGAGCAGGGGGCGGAGCCTCCTAGTTTTATAAAATTATGAAGAATTCTGCTTGAATCTATTGTTTCAATCAGTCATTACTGTCAACAGAGGGATAGGAAGAAAAAAAAACAGTAAATTTCACAACATAATATAAATTTCATGATAATTGTTGCATAATGTATTAAATTTTTTACAAAAAGAGAATTTTAGGATTTTTATATTCATCAAAATAGAAAAATTGCATTATTTTTCAGTCAAATCAAATATACTTGAAATATTATGCATTATGTTTACTCATAATTTTGAATAGTAATAATCATTTAGTTCATCAAAGATGGTTACAAGATTTTTTAGTTAAATTAAAATAAGAGTTTTGAATAAAAATAAACTGTTCATTTTAGAACAAAAAAAAAAAATTTATAAACTGATTTCTATAAATGAGGCTCGCTTCATTATGTATTAATAATACTTACTCAAATCAAGCAAGCAATAATCTGTGCAAAAATTCTACTTACAATAGGGATTTTTTTTAAAAGAAAATGACTCAATTTTAAGGAATTTTCTAAAATATGCAAAAACCAGGAAAAAGTTACAAAATCCAGTAGAGTTGGCAGCCATGAATTATACATTGGTTATGCAACTACGATTTCGCGGTTTTATTTTGGCTGACAATATCTAATCTAAGATGTCAAAAAATTCTTCGTAAAGCAAAAATAAAATTTCTCTAACAATTTTAAAAAATTCCCTATATCTATAATTAAGAGAAAAGTAACAATTTTACGACTTTGGTTGAGTCAATTCATCTTCTTTTCTCGACAGCAAATCAATTAAAACCATTCAGGACAATAACCAAACCAATATATATATATCAGTTCAAATCAAATAGAAATTTTCTCAGCCTTTTATAACCAACAGCATTTAATAGCATCTAATCAGAAAATGACTACACAGTGAGATAAGTCATATTTTTTATTCTGGTGAGTAACTTTGTGCTAGTTAACTTTCAAAAGAAAAGGAAAAAAAACTTCACATAAAAAATTTACTTTACTTTACCTAGCCTATAATTAAAAATATTCAAAGTATTTTTTTTTTAATGGTATAGGACAGGGGTGGCGAACCTTTATACACCAACGTGCCATTTTCTCTAAAAAATTGCTTAGTGAGGTCATAGACGTGCCGTCAAATAATTTTGACTTCGTGATTATTAGGAAAATAGTAATACTATATACTATCAACTCAAAACTCTTTACTTACATTGAAAAAAAAACATTTTGCAATGTCTCTGTTTGTTATACACGTAATTCAACTTGAAGTAACATCAGTGTGACTTCTGTTGTTGCAGATTAGGTGACCAATAACTTATATTAGGTTGTAAGATGTTAGTTTAAGCAGGATTGTTGATTTTCTTTGCTCGTTATTTATTGCTAACTTGTTTTTTACGGTTATTAATTGTTTTTTAGTATTAATTTTTTTATTAATAATTGTTTATTATTTTGTTTGTTTTTTGTGAATTTCAATTTAATTGTTACATATGCTTGATAGCGTAATAACATTTGTGTGATAACAATTCATAGTGTAACAACAATTGTGATGGGTGGAGTGCCCAGAATATTGTGTCGCGTGCCATAAATGGCACGCGTGCCATTGGTTCGCCATCCCTGGTATAGGATGACAAAGAATTTGCTTATTTCTACTACAAGTTAGAATGGCACAAAATTTCACTAGATAATATTTTAACAGCCCCTCTATGAATAAAATTTTAACTTTTATTTTCAACTAGCTCCCAAAATGAAAGTGATTAGCTTTTATATAACTTTATGTATGAAAGTTCCAAAAATTGAAACTGCTTACTTGTTTTAGATGAATACAATGGATCAACAGCATCACTGAAAAAATATGTCTGAAAAAAAAAGAGAAAAAATATTAATTCCAGTTTGATTATGTAAAAAAAAAATATAGCTCTTAAAGTGTATTACTTGAAATGACGGTAAATTTTAATAACAAAAATATATTCTATAATTTGTACAGAAGGGACCGCCATTTCTTCCAGGGCACTAGAAAAAACTGAAAGAAACTAAACAAAATAGAAGACACAAAAAAATGAGCGATACTATTGTTTAGCCTAATAAGTATTAAAAGAATGGCTTGAATTAAAACAAATTAAATTAAATATAGTGCCAGAAATATTAAGTTTTTCAGATCTATTTTATTAAAAAAATAATTATTATTTTCATACTATTTATTATAGTTTTAAACAGAATTTTATTTAAAATCTATATATCATGTTATAAGAGTTGTGTATTCGTGCCTAAGAGTATTTGATTATTAGATTGCCATTTCAAAATGTGATTAGTAGTAGTGTACAGTCCGCAAAAAAAAAAAAGATATCACTCTGAATAACTTTCGTTCTAATGATCGGATTTTCACGTACTAAGTGTTAATCTTAATGGTTCCTGGGGGTGACCTCAAATATGCTAATTAATTAGTGCTAACTATTAATTAAGTTACGAAATCAGACACAAAAACGTACTTTCTCTGAATAAACATATA